AGGCCTTGTGAAACATAACTGAGCACAATCCCTACTAAGCCACTATCAATGAAGAACAACAAAGAACTATAGAAACTACTTGAATATCTGTGCTAATAGATATGTCATGCTCATTCATTATCCCCTAAGTGACTGCCAATGTCTAGTTAAAATTGAACAAATGCCATGAATATGCTATACCATCACAGCTACCTCAATTGCTAGCTTTACTGCCTTATATGTATATTCAAGTATCATACATAAAAAAGATAGACTAAGCAATAAAATAACTCAACAAAATTCCACTTTATGAATCCTCAAACTTTCTGAATATCCATCAAAACCTTTACTAGTTAATCAAAATATAAATAATAAAACTCTAGTTAAATAGAGAGTAAGAAAACACAGATGTTTCTGGGCAGGAAGTGAAACACATTATCAAATGGGAAAAAGGGCCATATAGGTGTGCACAGAGATAGAGAACCAGAGCGACTGTGCAAAGGGAACAGCGGCAATGTAGCTTGGCAGGACAGAGAGAGAAAAAGGCCAGCTAGGAGAAGGCTCGGCGAGCGGTGACGAGGCTTGCGGAGGTTTGAGATGGCTCGGTGAGCGGTGACGAGGCTCACGGAGGAAAGAGATCAAGCAATCAATGGCCAAGGGGCGTGTTGCCCATATGGTATACATTTAAAAGAGAGGCTCGCAAGAGACTGAAACTAACATGGGCTCAATCTGATTTTAACAGAAAGCAAGCTCATAGAGAGATGAAAAGTAAGAGAAAAAAGGCAGCAGCAGACATAGGTAGAGAAAAAGAAAGGTAATGACTCAACATAAACACGGTAAGGACAGAGACAAGAGTAAAATTGCAGAAAGGTGCGGCTATGGCTAAGGCAGAAGAAATATATGTTGATGATTAAGGAAAGGAGAAACGAGGATTTACAGCAAGGTGAAGACCCATGATGGGTTAGGAATGAGGAACGCCAACGACTCTCAATTTGTCAGAGGATCTCAAGGATTAGCAACGACTCTCAAGGAGACCGCAAACACATGTCACAAGAAAACTTAGGCTCTTATACCATGTCAAACAAAGTAGGGAAAATATTCAGTTATGCTAAGATACGCTCATATTCACACATATTATTATTCTTCTCCAATATGGAGGTATTTATAGATAAGTACAACCCTAAATAAAATGGGAAATAAATCCAAATTACAATAGAAAATAAATATAAATTACAATAGGAAATAAATTTCAATTATAATAGGACTAGATAAATGGGTAAGTAACCAAAATCCTAACTAAGTCAGGACTCGCCAACAGATCTGTCATTTCAGAATGTTTAGATAGGAATTCTTTACAACTATGTAACGTTGATAAATCTGTGCATGCCAATAAGATGTCATCCACATATAATACCAATATGATGAAATTTCACCCACTCTTCTTCATGTAAATGCGTTCATCCAATGAATTTTCTGTAAAAACCACATTGCTTAACAAATTCATCAAATTTGATATACCACTGTCTAGAAGCTTGCTTAAGACCATAAATTGATTTACACAGTTTACATACTAGATTTTCTCCCTTCTCTTAAATGAAACCTTCTGGTTGTTTCATATATATTCCCTCTTCTAGATTTCCTGTCAAGAATGCAGTCTTTACATACATTTGATGTAAATGTAAATCGAAATGTGCTACCAATGCCATGATTACTCTAAATGAGTCTTTAGTTGAAACTAGTGAATAGATTTCTTTTTAATCTATCCTTTCTTGCCAGGTGTATCCTTTGGCAACTAGTCTTGTCTTATATCTATCAATTTGTCCCTTAGGGTTTCTCTTGGTTTTGAAAACCCATTTGTAGCCTATAGGTTTGCAATTTTGTGGCAGGTTCACTAGTATGCTCAAGTTCTGTTTCTTGATTAATACTAAACTGCAACTCCTTATGTGATTAGAAGACCATTTTAACATGGTTTAAGACAATGTAATGTCTTACACTTCTACCATAGGTTTGCATTCATTAGACTTGCCTCTGAATCTAAATAATCTTCTGCATGCATATTTCCATAAAAATCAGCAACTTCAATTTTAATTCCTCCACCATTCAAACCCAATGCACGAACCAACTGCTCTTCCAATCCACCTCAATCACCATCACCATGGTTGCATTCCAGAATCTCCATATAGGCAATTGATTAAATTTCTGTCTTTGGAGGGCTGCACTGCTCTCGACATATCTTCCATTATACGTCGCATGTCATCTATGTGTGTTGGGCTTAATTCCCTGTTGAGGCCCAAAAAATCCACGGTTGGGCCCGAATATATTCTCGGCCCAAAATGATATATTATTGAGAAAAGACCTGATTTGGAGAGCACAAAAGTCCGTCATGCGCGAGTCACACTCCACGTGCCATGCCAAATAAATAATTTGTCATGCTAGGAATCGAGATTAAGATTATAAAATGAATTAGCTCTACAAATCCATGCTAATTATCCCATCAAACATCACAATTAAAAACGTGCCAAGCGACATGCCATGCCAAGCACGAAATCGTTATTTCGCACCCAACCACGCTACAAGCCTAAGCGGGCCCAAGCTGCTCAAATACCCGGGGCTTGCTTGAGTGGGTTGTGGTATGGGTGGTAATAAATCAACATGAGGCCCATTGATGGGCCTAGAAATGGAAGTCTCGGGTCGCTTGGGAGCCTCAGGACTCAAGCCCATTTCTTAGGCCCAAACACATGGGTGAGCACAAAAGGGAAAATAACCCAACCAAAAATAAGCCCAATCAAAATAGCCTATTGACTCAACCAAAAAGCCCAAACGTTTTAAATAGCCCACTTGCTTAAGGAACCATTTTGGACCATACAAAACTCCAAAATAAGCCACAAAAGCCTCAACCCCTTGCTCGAAAAATAGAAGCCACGAAGGGGGAGGTCTGAAGATTTATTGAACAAAGCTGCTAGAGTTTTCAGCACATGGGGGGAGCAAGTTCCAAGTAAGAAACATTCAAGGAACCAAAGAATATTAGCATGCGAGCTGCCAGAAGCATCCTTTGAACCAGCATGTATATCCACTTCCTTTCCTTCATCAGATCTGGCCAAGGAAGGAGGAAGGAAAGAAGAAGAAAAATAGCTAAGAATGTAGCCTCCCACTGGAACAGTTGCGGGAAAGGAGCCTTGAGCTCCCAAAGTTCCTGATTTTGTGCAAATAGACAGAGAAAATTTCACCAAGATAGGAAAAGCCAAGGGAGGAGAAGAGAAAGGAAGGGCTTAGCCAAAATGGGTAGAAACCATTAGGGTTTCTTGGGAACGAATGATTTCTAGCAGCTATAAAATGAGGCCTCTTCTAACCAACAAAACCAACTGAGATTCAGAGAGCAAGCTTTCTCTCTAACTTGCAAAAACCCAGCAATCTCGTGCACTGTTCACCCTCTTCTCCATTCTTCTCTTCTAGCAGACAGAGTATCTATCAAGCTGCCGGAAGAGCATTGTTCTTCATTTCTCTCTTCCTAGCCAAATATCCTACAAATCTCTCCTTTCTCACCTTAACACTTCCTTTTTTCCCCCCTAAGAAAGCCTAAATTTCCCCTCTGTGCTAAACTCATGTTGATTTTGCTTCCATGCCACATGCCTCTCATGCCAAGCTCAAAAGTTTATCTGTAAGCATGCAAAAATTACCTGTAAGTTGCCATTGTTTTGGCTAGTGAAGGTAACCAAAATACTTCCTAAGGCTCTGCTGCCCTTTCGAAGCATTTTTGGGGCTTAATTTTCAAACTCAGACACAGAGGATATTTTTCTTCAGTTTGCTCCTTACGGCAGCCCAGCCCATCTGTAGCCATCAGAAGAAAAAAGACCCCTACATTCCCTTGTCCACAACCTCTACCATGACCAACCATGGTGTGAAGGAAGGATTTTCCTAGCCTTTGGTATCAATTTGATGCAGGGTAGCGTCTATAAGTTGTTGTCTAGTGAACCAAACAGTCCCAAAATACATATAATAAAATGATAAAGCTATAGAATAGAAGTTAGAATGAAAATAATTGATTTCTAGGTCAAATATCCTAAAAGAAACTATAGCGATTAAAGCCTGGAATTATATGCATAAAAAAATTGAATACATGAGTCTCTTAATAGTCTATTTATACTAGAGTAAAGCTGCCCAGCAATCTTATCCCTTGGGTTCTTAAGAAAACCTAATTGGCCAAGGAAATTAAAAACCAATAAAACTAGAAATTCAACTAAATCTTAGTAAGACTTAGCCTATTTGGCTGATGAGCCCTCTATATAAAACTTGTTCCTTTTGGTTCCAATGGAGGCCAGCTAATAACAAAAAAAGGCGTACTATAATCGACCTATTTATTTAAGGAAGATTCATTATTATACCCAATATAGGGGCCCAAATTATGAAAATACCTTATATGAAATGGACTTTAGAAACAACCCAAAGTCCATTTACAACATAACATAGAGGCTTTTAACTTCTTTTAAATTACAAAACTGCCATAGATTTTTGAAACAGATTTCTTAAAACAAGTCCAACCCCAAAATCTCATAAAAAATAAAAAACGCTCAATAGGGCATCAAAGTAACTTAATAATTAAAATTAAATTAAATAGAGCCAGCTGTTACTTTTGGGGTTTGTTTATAGAAATTAAATAGTGTAGGGTTTATTTATATTTTATGTGCTAAGAATGGGTATATGACTAAATATCTAATCAAAACCTTAATCCCTCTAAAGAAAACAAAATCTTCAGAAAGGCGTGAAAGCAAACAATTGTCAGATGGATTTTCATTTTCTTTTAGTACAAAAGATGTCACATTTAAGGCAATAATAATTTCGTTGATAATGGTAAAATTGTACAAAGTGTTCAAATAAATATAAAATATATGCAACATAAAATTTTGCCAAAAAAAGCCAACCCTAGTTTTATATTGATCTATTTTTCATTGGATTTTGTACAGATTGGGAGACAAGATACAGAGATAAGCATTTCGTCTACGTGTCTTTGATCTCACAAGGAAATGGATATTGTTATTTCAATTGCGTCCAAAATTGCAGAGTCCTTGGTGACACCAATAGGCAGAGAGTTTGGCTATTTGATTTGCTATGATACCAAGATGAAAGATCTAAAGTATCAACTTAAAAAGCTTTTTGAGATGAAAAATGGGGTGCAAGAATTGGTTAATGCTGCCCAAAGGAATGGTGAAGTTATCAACTCTGATGTTCAAAGTTGGCTAACAAGTGTTAACGAGTTAATTCAGAAAGTGTCACATTTTGAGGAAGAAGTCAACATGGAAAGGCGATGCTTGTACCGGTGGAACATAAGTAGGAAAGCCACTAAGATTACACAAGATGTTCGTCATCTCCAAAAAGAAGGAACATTCAATAACGTTGCCCATCCTGCACCTCCACCAATGATATCGTTAGCATTCAAAGAAGGTTTTAAGGATTTTAAATCCAGAATGACATGTGTGAATAGGGTGCTTGAGGTTTTGAAGAATGAAGAAGTTAGAGTGATTGGGATTTGTGGTATGGGGGGTGTGGGTAAAACCACAATGGTGAAAGAAATCATCAAAAGGTTGGAAGGATTGAAAGTATTCGATAATATTGTGATGGCAGTTGTGTCCCAAAGCCCAAGCATTCAGAAGATTCAATCAGAAATTGCAGAGGAGCTGGGGTTTAAATATGATGAGAATACTGAAAGTGGAAGAGCACGAAGGCTCCACAGAAGACTCATGGAAATAAATAGCATCCTAATTGTATTAGATGATGTGTGGACAGAGCTTGATTTTGAGGCTATAGGACTTCCTTCTGGACTTTCTCATAAAGGGTGCAAAGTTTTGTTGACCTCAAGAAACTTGGAAGTGTGCAACGCAATGGGAAGTCAAGAAATTTTTACACTCCCAATTTTAACAGCAGAAGAATCATGGGAACTCTTCCGTGAAATGGTAGGTAAACCCTTGGACTATCCTGATTTGGCAAAACAAGTCATGAATGAGTGTGGAGGTTTACCTATTGCTATTATAACTGTTGCGAAAGCACTAGAAAATAAGAGGAAGCATGAATGGGTTGATGCACTCAAACAACTACAAAGTTCAGCTCCTGGAAGCATCTCTTCGATGAATGACAGAGTTTATTCAAACATACAATGGAGTTATGATAGATTGGAGAGTGATGAAGCGAAGTCATGCCTTTTGCTTTGTTGTTTATTTCCTGAAGATTATGATATTCCAATTGAGTATTTGGTTAGATATGGATGGGGTCGAGGGTATTTTAGTAACACTGATTTCGTGGAAGAAGCAAGAAATAGAGTGCATTCTTTGGTTGACAAACTTCAAAGAAGGTTTTTATTGCTAGATAGCAAATTGAAAGACCATACCAAGATGCATGACATAGTTCGTGATGTTGCCATACAAATTGCCTCAAGATATCCACATAGATTTCTAATAAGATGTGATGCTGAAAAGAAAGGGTGGCCAAAGATATACGACCATTACACAACAATGTCACTGATACCAATAAATATTGATGAAATCCCAGTTGGTCTGGAGTGCCCAAAACTTGAGCTTCTACACTTAGAAGGCAAATGTTATTCGGAAAATAGCATGGACATCATGTGTAAAGGGATGAAAGAGCTCAAGGTTTTAGGCATGGGTGGGATATCAGCCTTGCCAAGTTCACAAGGACTACTGAAGAGCCTTCGAACCTTGTCCCTAAATGGTTGTCGTTATTTAACAGATATATCTAATGTTATTGGAAGATTAGAAAATTTAGAGATCCTCAGCTTTCGTGAATGCATTAACATCTTAGAGCTGCCGAGGGAAATTGGACTTCTTAAACATTTAAAGTTGTTAGATATTACGGATTGTATTCGTCTTCAGAAGATTCCACATGGTCTCTTATCGAGCTTATCTAGTCTTGAAGAGTTGTATATGGAAAATAGTTTTCGCAAATGGGAACGATCAGCAGCAGAAAGCAAAGATAAGAGGATGGCAAGCCTTGTTGAGGTGATGTCTTTGTCTAATCATTTGAAGGTTTTAGTCATGTATATTCCCAATTTCAACTTCTTTCCAAAAGACTTTTACTTGACAATCCAGACAGCAATAAGATTCCACATATCCAATAGATTGTGTCCCACAGGTTTTAGGATTGAAAGTAACGGATGTTATGCATTCGAAAATAAGTTGGATATTGTTGACAGTGATGCAACGGAATTCATGGAGATTCAACTCTTATTTAAGAAATGTGAAGATTTAATCTTGGGAAGGATTAAGAATTTAAAGTATGTCCTCAATGAATTAGACCAAGAGGGACTGCAACACTTAAAAGTTTTAACAATTTGGGACTGCAGTGAGATAGAATACCTTGTAAATGGAGCAAGTTGGACTCAACAAACAGCCTTCCCTCTCATCCAGTCAATCCAACTCATGTGGATTCCCAAGCTAAAAGCAATATGCCACGGCCAACTTCCACAGAGCTCTTTTATCAACTTAAGATCTCTTGAATTATATGATTGCCCTGTTTTAAAATATGTCTTTTCTCTATCAGTAGCAAGCAACTTGGTTCAACTTCAAAGCTTAAATGTTGACCGGTGTCGCCAAATGAAAGAAATTGTCTCAAAGGAGTGGAGGGAACATGAGACGGCATTGGACATCATAGCTTTCCCTAAATTAACAAATTTGACACTCCAAGGTCTACATAATTTCGTTGGTTTCTACGAAGTCAACAAGCTATACTCCAACTATGAGGTATGTTACATATATAACTTATTATTTTGATGCTTGAATAGTATAATTGTTTTGTTAATTCTTTGTGCCTCAAAATTTTTTTTTGGGTCTGAATTTAGTTTCACTGTTTGGTTTGAATTTACTCCAACCTTTGTGCCTCAATTTAGTTTGACTGTTTTAGTATCAACCTTTGTGCCTAAAAACTGAAAATATTCTCATACTAATAAATGAGGATCTTGCCTTTACAAAAAAAAATTAATAATAATAATAATAATAATAATAAATTATTGTGCATACCAGGATATTTATTAAATGAAGATCTTGTCTGAAGTTGATCTATAAAATGTTTCTTTAAATATTTATAATTAATGAATCTTTTCAGGTAACAACACCCAAGGATGAAAATGTGGTAGGAACTTCATATGATGAGCATCAATCTTCTAGAAGCTTTGAAAGAGCGGTATTTCCATCAAAGTGCATTTTATGGTTACAAAATCTAGAAGAAGTGAAACTAAAATTTGACGATGGCATTGTAGATGTGTTATTTGATCTGAATGGCCATATGGTTACGGATGGGCCAGCACTTTCTCATTTACGAAAATTGGAGATTTTATTGGCTTTTGCATGTCAACACCTTTGGAAGAACATTCCGCGTGGATTCCAGGGCTTCCAAAACTTAAGACATTTCAAAATAAATTATGGTATTGATCTCCAATATGTGTTCCCACATTCAATTGCCAAGCTCCTTGTAAATCTTGAAGAGCTCAACATAGCAGAATGCTGGAACATGGTAACTATAGTCAGATCCGCAGATGAAAATGAAAAGGAGGATCAGACGGGCATGACTTTGTTTCCCAAACTAAATAGTTTTGATCTAGACGGGCTTCCCAAACTGAAGACATTGGCTTCAGTAATTCCACAAATAAAAAAGTTGGAGAAAGATTCAACAGCTCATCACGAAGACGAAGACGAAGGTATTTCATCAGGATCTTGTGGATGTACACCTTATTCATGTGGCCCAATGACCAAACCTACTTCAAGAACAAATATTGTTCAAATATTGCCACGTCCAGTCAATCAAGAGGTAAGCATTTCAATTTACTATTATTTTATTTCTATGAACCTACAATTGCTCAATTGATGTTTGATTTTCTAGGTTGCCCCAACAAATCTTGATCAAGACTCAAATGATTATGATAATCTAGAACGTCTTTCTATACTATCCTGTAAGTCACTGGAAGTTGTTTTCCAACTCAAGGGATCGAAGGCTGTGGAAAGCCATAACATTCAAGCATTCAATAAGTTGTGTTACTTGTCGTTATACAAATTGCCAAGTTTGATGCACGTATGGGAAACAGGCGGTTCACAACATATCACGGGCTTCGGAAACTTGACATTCTTAAGTGTATCCCACTGTGGCAGTTTACGATATTTGTTCTTGTCAACTGTAGCCAAGCTCCTTGTCAGTTTAAAGGACTTAAAAGTTGGGAATTGTAAGAAGATTAAACAAGTTATTGCAAAAGCAGACACTGAATGTGCTGATCAGGAAATTACATTTCCTCAACTGAATTCCATGACGCTTGAAGATCTACCAAACTTCATTTGTTTCTCTGCTGAAGCTTTTACTTTGAAGTTGCCATCTTTGATGAAATTGAAGGTTATAAGATGTCCATACTTAAGAACATTTGCTTCCAAGGTTGTCAACACACATTCTAGAATCCAAGTACACACAGAGTTGGGACAGTCTGAGTGGATGGGGGACCTCAATAGCACTATAGGGAACTTTCACAAAAAATGGTATGCTCCTGGATGTTTACTGCTTTTTAGTCAGTAATATAACAATAAAAGTGTTTCTTTTTCAAACCTGATTGCATCTCAATAATACACATTCTTTTCTTTTGAATACAGGGAAACACAGAGAAGTACAGAGGTGAGTATATGTATGTCGCTATCTCCAACTTCTATATTAAGGAAACACTGATGTTTGCAAATCTTACTAAAAAAAAATACGCCATATTATGCCATATTAAGGAAAGAAGTAAATTAAGTTAGCAAGATCAAATTACGGTTCTAATGATATAAAAAAATAATAATAATTAGGTGTGAGATTGTTTAAGCTTCGATTTGACAATAAATTACAATGTATTTCATGTGTGTATGAGGTTTTTTTGATTCAAGTGTTCTATCATTGCGATGTAGTAGACGAAAACGAGAAAAAAACCTAATTCTGATGTGGTATCTCATTAGAACATCTCCAATGGGCTCCTCCCTAAATGAGATTCTAAGTTAAAATTTAGAGTAAATGTCAGGAACCCAACTTCAAGTATCTCAAAATATGAAGTTCTACAGTTTCTTCAGTTAAAAAAAAATGCCTAGGCAGAGTATTTAGAGCCTTCTGAATTTGAATTTTGTAGATTAGTCTAGAGATTTCTGAATGTTGTAGCTTTTTGCATCATTATCAAAAACACTCCGAGGCTCGTTTTAAGTCCCAAGTTGATGATTTTCTCACATTTAGTGCATGGATGAACACTTTCATTATTTTTGTAGTTTAATATTGTTTCCCTCTTTTCAGCACATTCATGAGGAGGTTTGAGTTCAGTTCTGAAGAATTTTATGAGGATGTGCATACAGACTCTACAGAGTGAGTTCTTGAAGTTTGAAATAGCAAGTTGCAACTCCACATCTCTAACCTCATCAATTCTTGAGAAACAATCCCATTTCAATTCCAAGTGTTAAAGGGTATTATAATTCATGTACTGGATTTCATTTGTATGTCATTCAAATGTTAGAGCAGATCTGATGGTTAAGGCATAAGTTCATGTGTTTTTAAGAGTTATCAAGGATTGATGTTAAATTCTCTCTTCAAATAAATACTTCTTGAAGATCCCTCTGCTGAAATTTTTTCGACTTTGTTAGCCAAATACAACAACAAAATTCATAACCTCTCCTACATATCTTTCATTTTTAACACATCAAACCATCATTGAGTTCAATGTGCCATCAAATTTCAAAGTTCAACAACCAAATTTTGACAAGCCTACTTACCAGCCTGCATTAAAGTTTTTACAGTTCAAATAAATAGATATTTCTTGACGATCCCTCTGCTGCAATTTTTACAGTTTTTGGTGGACCGTTAGAACGTTGAAGTACTAAATATAGTTACGATGCCAGCCAAAGTACTGACGTCCAATTAATTTTTCCATTACACACAAGTTCAAATTTGGGAACATGAATGCCTCAAAGTTACTAATCAAAATAATAACACAGAATTCCAGTGTTGCTGCAGACATAAAAGACTTGCGGCAAAAATCTTTCACTACTACAATTGTTCAAATTCAATGACGCCAAAATTAATTTTTCAATGTTGCCAAAATTAACATATTAAAAAAATTGGTTGATCACTTGTTGTCAAGATTTCAGAGAGACTAACTAGTTGTCCACACCAAGCATGTGTGAAGTTTATCACAAAAGATCTCAGTACTATTAATAGTAGATCAATTTATATTGTATTTTATTTTGTCAAGGTTTCGATGTGGGTTTTTTACGTTCTTCAACACTTGGGAACATTTATTTCACATATTTCCAGTATAAATACAAGGAGACCCTCATGGTTTCTATAACATGAAAAACCCATTGCCTATGTGCGCCTCATGCTCAATTGTCATGACAACAACTATTTGATGATTGAGAATATTTTTGCTCACCACTTTAAATCAAGGTGTACCCTCACCACTATTTTCAATACTTGATACGTGTCAATTGGTATAACCATAGTTAACTCTTTACTTGACACGCGTCAATAAGTTGATAGTTATTTTAGCATCAAATGTTAAAATTGCAATCATAAAAAAATGGATTAACTACATAAAAGTACCAAACCTTTAGGGGTCGTTTCAAATTAGTACCCAACATTTCGTAAAAAATTCAAATTAGTCACTCCGTCAGTGGAGGTGTTAAGTGATGACGTGGCTGTTCCGATGCTGCTTTTTTTGCTAAGGTGGATACCACGTGGATAAAATAAAATAAAAAAACGTCTTTAGTTTTTGAATTAATTTAAAATTTTAAAATAAAATGTATAAAATAACATAAACTTAAATAATTTTTTAAAAGTAATAATAAAAGGACAAAAGTACCCCATCCCCCATCGTAACCCCACCCCCAACCCACGCAGCACCAGACCACCACCGCCGACTTCCTCCCTTTCCCACCACCTCTCTCTCTCTCTCTCTCAAAAACGTAGCCCCCCACCTTCGACGACGAACCCAGCTGTCACCTCCATAGAGATAGATTTGTGGGTTACGGCGGATGAAGAACTTGGCGACGAAGACGAAGACAACGAATCTAAAGTCGGGCTAGTCGGATCTAAAGAGAAGGAGGTTAGCTGGGGCTGGCGTTGGGGATAGGGGTCGGATCTCTATCAATCTCCCTCTCTCTGTGTGTCTTTGTCTCTCTCTGTCAAACTCGCGGAGGAGGCGTGGGTGCCTTGATAAATTTTTGGCACAGAGATGAGGTCATTTTCCCTTCTGTTTGGTCGGAAAAGAAAGTTTATGGATGGTGAGCGATGGCTAGGTGGTGGTCGGTAGACGGTGGTTTTTGGGGATGGCTAGGTTATGGTGACCATGAAGGGGTGGAGCTGAGAGGGAGGTGGGGGGGGTGGGGTGTGTGTTGTTGGGGTTGGTGATGGCTTGGGATGGGGATGGCGTCGGGATTAATGGGTGGGCTTAGAGAAGAGGTCATAGGCGGTGGAGAAGGATCTGGAGATGGAAGTGAGGTTGCTGGGGTCGATGGAGGATGAAGAAGGTGAAGCCAATGAGAATGCCGATGGAGGATCTGGAGATGAAGAAGGTGGAGTTGAGGTAGATGGAGGATCTGGAGAGGGATGTGATTTTTTTGGCTGTTGAAACTGATTTTTCTTATTTTTTGCGTTTTTTTAATTAATTTAAATTTTAAAAATTTATTTATTTATTTTTTAATCCATGTGGTATCTACCTCAGCCAAAAAAGAAAAAAAGGCCACATCGGAGCAGCCACGTCATCAGTTAACGTCTTCACTAACAGTCTGACTAACGTAGTGATTAATTTGTATGTTTTACAAAAGATCGGGTATGCCCGTAAAAAATTTAAAAGGTTTGGTACTAATTTGAAACGACTCCTAAAGGATGGGTACTTTTATGTAGTTAAATCCTAAAAAAATTAAAGAGACAGTATTTAAGCATCAAATGTTACCAAGATAAACATATGATACTGAGAAACCACGCGCATTCATTAAATTTCTTGCAATATTATGCATTGAAATGGATATATTAGAAAACATTAAATATGATAATATAATTGATGATTCTGCTTCTAAAACTGCAATAAGAAGAACTTTGAAATGATCTTTTATTATTTTGTAGATGCATATAATTTTGGTTTGCCTTGGGCCTTCAATCACCCAGGGGCAGCCCTATGGATGGGGCATGCGGCTGGGTTGGGTATAGGGAGATGGGCTGGGTTTTTATAATTTTAATTTGTTATTTTATAATTTTATAATTTATTTTGTTTTGGACTTTTCATTATTATTTAATACAGAGTATTTTTTTTATTAAAATTACGAATTTTCCCTGAATATTGACAGAAATTTAGATGAAATTCAATCCTGTGTGCCCATGAGATATAAATGGGAAAAGTATGGAGCGCCCTTCATTTCCAATTATGTGTTATTTTTATTTTTCAGTTTGTTAAACCCTTAGGCCCCATTTGTTTATGTTTTCAGACCCCCAATTTCATTTTCTAGAAGAGAAAACGCCTCAAAACTTGTTTGGTGTTGCACTTAGCAAAATGCGGAAAACGATTTACAAAAATGTTTTCAATATATTCTCTTCAAGTTGAAAAACACCAAAAAGACGTTTCCGTGTTTCCGTTTTCCAATTTAGAAAACACAGGAAACAACATCCGCTTATTTTTCTACCGAATAGAAAAAACAGAGGAATTCTTCTCCTCTCTCCCTTCCCACATCATCACCATTCCTTAGGGCAAGCAGATTTATTTTACAAGGATTCCAATTCGTATTTTTTAGTTCTAATTTATACATGCAGATTTAGAACTCTCTCTTTTATTGACGAGTCCTTACTTAGTTAGAATTTTGGTTCTTTATTTAGTTTACTTAGGATTTTGGTTCCTTATTTAGTTAGAATTTTGGTTACTTACCAATTATTATTTAGTTCTATTGTAATAGAGATATATTTCCTGTTGTAATTTAGGTATATTTCCTATTTTATTTAGGGTTAACACATCTTTGTACTTGTATAAATACCTCCATATTTGAGAAGAATAATAATAAAAGCATATATTAGTATAATTGAATATTTACCCTACTTTGTTTGACATCTCTCTATTTCGTTGCTCTGCTTTTGCTTGTATGAAAATTCTGTTTCAACCTCCATAGAGACAACAATCATTGCCCAAAAATACAAAAGGTTTCATTAGAGAGGCACCAAAGATCTAGAAATTGACCCCATTAAGCGATGTGCAAGGAGAGGATACCATAGCTTTGATAATCAAGCTAAAAAGAAAAAAGAAAAAGAAGAGAGGTTTGCTGTAAGACATGAGAGTTACTAAGAGAGAGTACGAGACGTTTTCCCGACGTTTTCACTATTTTTGTTTTATGAAACTGTTTTCCAATTAAGTTATCGAACGCATTCTTGAATCTGAAAATGCAAAGTCGTTTCTCATTATCATTTTCTGAAAATATTATCTGAAAACATTCTCCAAACATGTTACCGTCTCCCATAATAATTCAATATATGCATTTTGGTGGTGCCTATCCTCTTGTGATGTTGTTCCCGCCCCTAGGCTTATTTCCCCACTAACATTTATAATCTCACGCCCCATGGAAATTTCAAAGAGACAATCCATCCGGAACGTGGACTTCCGTGTTCCTCCCCATGCCATAATATCACTTGTGTATAGTAAAAAAAAAATAATAAAAGAAAAAGAGAAAGGAAGTATGCGTGCCACCGGTACTAGATACTAGAGAGACTTGGGAAAAACACAGAAAAACAAAAAAGAGAAAAAAAAAAAAAAAAAAAAAAAAAAAAAAAAAAGGAAAAGACGATTTTCCACCTGTTAGTTTATTTAGTTTATTCCAATGAAAATTATACAGTAGAACCCAAAATGGCAAACCAATGAAACACCGTAGGCCAATAACATTGAGAGACAACATATGTATATACACGGTTAAAGAAGTAAATGCAAACCTTCAACTCTGACATCATCTGATTTTTTGGTATACAAATTGACATCTGTAACCTACAACAACAATAGCACTATTCTATTCCCTCTCAGTTCTATGAAATAACTTGCATAATCAGATTTATTCATACTACTGTTTTTTGACATAAAATACATCATCTAGATGACCATATGCGACAACCACAACTTTGATGGAGTCTATGAACAATCATGCAACTTCACTGCACCTCAACCAGGTCCGCGAAGACCAGAGAACAGCAGAAGTCCTATCATCTAACCATATAATTGCTCTAGTAGGACCCTAAAGATCAACTTCAGATAAAGAATCTAATGCCTCACTCTCTGGGCCTGGCAAGCCAAAGAGAACTCAGGGCTCGAAGACGCGAAAAATAGTCATTTATTGCAAGCAGTGCACGAGCTGATTGTCGGGTCGTCAGTATACGATGCATTTGTTGCAGCGTTTGTTGGCGAAGATTGTCAGCCTGGTAATTGACCAAAATAAGATTACAGATAATAAGGCAAATAAATTGACATTAGTAGAGCATAAACATGAATGAAACATAAATAACTAGTGGCATTTTCAGATGTTTTTAAGGGAAGTCAAGTCCCCAAGACAAGATTAAAGAAGCAAGAATTTTCAAACGGGCATAGCAATCTATACTCAAGCCAAGTCCCCAAATTTGTGGACCATTTCTGCTGCACGTCTTCCACGAAACAAACTTTTTGAAACAAAAAATTATTATTGCCTTCAATAATAGGACACTAGGTTTTTTTTTATCCAGAGACTACAGACTCAAGAGGACTACAGTTTTCTAGTGTTTCAAAAAGAATAAAGAAAGACTACATATTGTAATGATGAAACTTAGGTAGAACAGCCGACAAAAACAAATGAAGAATAAAGTAATTGAAGAAAACAAGCTTTTTTTTTTTTTTTTTTTTTTTAAGGAAACTATGGAAACAAAATACAATTTGGTTTCATTCCACCCACAAGTTCCAGCACCATAATATCTACATGCAAGTTCCAGATGCGTCACTCAGAAATACCAGCATATTCATGATTGAGTTTTTATCTATAGTTCTTGCAATCATCGAAATTCACTAGGATCACACTGCATAAGCAAGCTAGTGGAATCAACTATCAAGGGAATTCACCTGGCGGAGGAAACCCTCAAGAGTTCCTAGCTTTCCCATGGCCATGGCCATTTGACCCATATAGTTTGCTACATTTCCAGATGATCCTGATGGCCCAGGTGAGCCACTGGCCAAGGTTTCAGCAAGGGATTGCTGCAATGCCTCCATCCCTTGTGACAGAGCATCTTCAGCCTGCTGGGATGACTGCTGCAAGTTGTAAATACCCACCAATTGCTGCTCAGTTAACGGTTCCAATTGATTCACCAGAAGCTGCACCAAAGCCAATACAGTTTAAAATGCGGAGATCTAAAACAATTAGAAAAATATAGGACAGAACGAATACATTATGCCCACATGGTATTCAAATTTAATTTTGAGTAGGTCATTATTCATTTTGTCTAAGAGAATAAAACATCAATTTTGATGACACATTCTTTTAAGTTCAAACTTGAGCACTCAAGAATTTCCATTACTTGCAATCAAGGAATAAATGTATTGTTCATTCCATGGATACGGTTATGTGGGCACAGACAAGTGACTCACAACATAGAAAATGCAGAATTGAACCCATATACATCCAACATTTCCCTTATTTCCATCATGTATAACGTATTATGGAGAGAGCATGTCAGCATTACAGCCCTAACTCAGAATGTCAAAATAAATGTTTTCATGTCAGGAGATTATCACACTTGGAGAAAACAAGGAAGCAAAATGTTAAAATAACATCTCATACACTAGTAGAAGGATTTATGCAAACACCGCCTAAAACTAAAATGACAAAACCTTTTTGTTTTCCAAGTTCCAAGAAGATCAAGAGAAAAGTTGCTAGAATGCATTACAACTGAAATCAAATACTCAACCACAGCAAAGAAGAGTTGAAACTAATTTTCACCTTAAGGAGCTCAGATGAGCGGAAGCCACCAATCCACATGAAACACCTTTCAGCTGGTGTTTTCCACATTCCTGACAAGATGTGGAAAACATCAGCTTTTGCTGCAGTACCCTTCAGTCTAAAAATGTCATCATAGTGAGCAATGACATTGTCAATAACGGTACGAAGTTCAGTGTCACCCGCATGTGAATTAACAGCAGCCCTCAACTCATTTATCTGCCTGTTGTGCTCCTCTAGCCACCTTGCATATTCCACATCAAATGCCAGAGCACCTACAGAAGACAAAAACAATTAAAACAACAAAGTTTTACCATCAAATATCAGTTAAGTGGGAACATATATACACATGTTAAATATACGGGCGTGTTCTTATGCCAGGCAGTTTAGGAATATAACGCTCCTGTTGCCAGAATATGATTTTAGACCATTGATTAGCTTGATTCTTGCTTAAATGTCTGGTCCAAATCCAGCCTGACAACATATGAATCTTATGTTTCCAGACCGTCTGGCAAGAGAATATGACCTCATTATATACACATTTATACACACACACACACACACACATATATCTATACATCTTTGCTTCGCTGGCCCCAATAAAGTGAACACAAAGCACATGAAATAATCTAATTTATCATGTTAGCAACTACATCCATATTTAATATGATGAACATAGAGAAATCTACAGGACAAACATTTAACCCCCAGATGCTCAGACCCAACCGCAAAAGATCGGGATGGCCAAATAACAGAAAAATCCAAGACAAGCAAGCTGTAGAAGTATCTAACCAAAAATAATCGACTTACTACACACACTCTGATGGAGAGAATACATAAACCTAAATTTACTGTAATGGAGATTGATGAGGTGACTAGGTTACTGGTTATCTTGGATGGCACTAGATTGGTTCCCTCTAGGAGGGACAACAGAAGGTGGAAGTTGGATCACTCTGGGTTATACTCGTGCCATTCTTTTTGTTCCTTCATTCAGGATAATGGTTCTGCGGAGGAGTTCCCTTCTCACCCTCAAATTTGGAAGGCTAGGACGACAACACCCACCCCCCCACCCCCAAAACCGGGGTTAAAATTCTTCTATGGTAGGTTGCCATTGGAAAAGTAAAAACTTGCGACACTTTGCAGAGGCATCGCCCCTTTATGTGCTTATCCCCTCACTGGTGCACTCTTTGCAATATGGACAGGGAAAGCGCGGATCATCTGTTCATTCACTGTCCCTACTCCTTAAAGGTGTGGTGGTTACTTCTGCAGGAAGTTAATGCTGCTTGGGTTATTCCTAAAGGCTGCTTTCAGCTGTTATCCTACAAGATTGATAAGCTGGGTAGGGGGAAGAAAGCTAAAGTTCTGTGGGGTTGCTTGGTGCATGCAGTGTTTTGGAACTTATGGGCTTCGGTTACTCCTGTTTTTAAGGATTTGGCTGTCTCTTATATTATGCGAGATTTGTTAGGGGTTGTGAAGTGATGTGTTGCTCTCTTCCTTTTTCCTGGGTGGCCTTTTTGTTTGCTTTTGTCCTCTTTTCCTTTGTTTGTTTTGGTCTTGAGGTTGCTGTTTACTTCTGTTTTGCTCTTGTGCATTCCTTATCCACTTGCTTGTTTCTTTGTTTATCTCTTTGATTTTATAAAGTTTCTATTAAAAAATAAATAAATAAACTTCTTAAACATATATATGCATTTCAAGGCAGGCTACAAAAATATACACAACTGTGGTTATTAAGTCCAGGAAAAAGTAAGAATCAGCAGATGAGATTAATAAGTTCAAATACCATTTCCACTCATCGAATGAGATTGATCTCCAGAGCTTGAAATGAATATTCCCTGCAACATGTAAAACATTAGTATGATACAAAACATCCATGCCCAGCCAAATGAAAAATGTATATAGAAAACCAACCTGCTGGCGGGCACGCTGAAGCTCTTGCTCAAGCTGGGTTAATTTCAGCCGGCTACTCTCAAGCTGTTGTACATATGCCTGAATAGAAGAACCCGATGGAAATAATGTAAAGGCAGACATGAATATAATGACACTTCCCCACAAAGAACAGTAGCTATGACTTATAATGAGATAGAGAAAGATTGCACTTAACACATAAGCGCACTGAACTTACAAACACAGTTAGTCTAATAATAATGACAACAACGTAAAAGAGTAACAGATAATAATTCATAACATATAGTGACCTACCTTTTTTCTTAATCTGCTTTTCCTGGCGGCTTCACGATTTTGAGCAAGTCTTCGCAGTGTCTGTAAAACATTGATTCAAACTAGGGTAAGTTGATAATCATGCAAGACAACACTTTAATAATATATTCAGTTGAAATTGTCAAACCTTTTGATCACCAGGTTTATCTTTTGACCTGTCACTCGAATCAGAAACTAGAAGACCAGTCATTTGATTCAGTTCAGTCTGCACAAAAACAAAAAAATTAAATTCACCACCAAAAAACAGCTGAAAATCACAATGTTCTCTCACATGCACAATAATTTCCGTATGGAAAAAATAAGGGATATGTCACTTTGAATCTTGCATACAAAAGTGACTGAAGAAGTAGGCACTCTTAGAGGAAAACTACATGAATAAAGACGAGATGAACCAGAATTTATACGCAGCGGATACTGAAAACTGGAACCAAGAGATGTTACCCTCTGATTTTTATCTTCTGTGTCATCTGTTGAAGTATCAGTCCTAGGGCTTCCATCTGCCATACTGGACTCCCCCCAGTTCTCGTGATTGCTACGAGATACAGAAGGCAAATTTTGTTGTGCCTCTTTTTGCAGTGGCACCAGCTGAGATCCCACAATACAAACAGATAAGTTTATATCTAAAGATGCAAGGAACTGGATTCCACAATGCGTTCAACCTTATTGGTCTTGCAATCATTTTATTTTATTTTTGTTTTGTTTACTTTAGGAGGGGGTGATAAACAATTACCTTATTTAAAGAGCCAAATTGGGCATCACTACTCCCCAGTGCCTGGCTACTTAATTTATTTTGATTAAATACAGGACCTAAGAAATCCAAAATAATCAAATGAGAAAAAGGAGTCAGAAGCAAGTAAATACCATAATACAACAAGAGTGAAATATGATCAGAAACTTTTTTGCACACACACACACACAGATATATATATATAATCCCCTTCTATCGAGGGACACCCTTTAGGGTCCCCTACGAATTTTTTTTCAATGATCCAAACCATCTATTTTTTAAGTCTACAAAAATAGATCATCCTCGCAAAAAATTAGACAAATCAGAAACCGTTTCGACATCTAATTGTGTCCTACAAAATCAATGAACACAGTGCTTCAAGAACGTACTAAAATTTCAATAATTCAATTTAGTGGTCAAATGATATCAGATTCAAGTCATTTTTTGTAGAGATAATCATTGAATGAACAGTTTGGATCAGTGAAATACAAAACAGAGTGAGCCCTACAAGGGTGTCTCTCAAATAAGCTTATTTGAGGGATCTCTCAACTGAAGCTCTCTCTCTCTCTCTCTCTCTCATTTCACACAAAAAAATTTAAACATAAACACAATTAGAATCATATTTCTGTATCATACTCCAACGCCAGAAGTTAGATATGCCTCTAAAGTCACACTTCAGAAAGCCAATGATGATTAGAATTTCGAACAGAACAGTAATTTTCAAGCATGAAGTAGGAGCATAACTCGGTTAATTGGCTGTCCTAATGAGAATCTAGATGTTGACTAGAACATATTAATAACCTTATTTACTGAGTATGGACAGTAAAAGACAATATAAAGGTTAGCTGTGGAAAAATTAAAAGATACGGTACAAAATGAACAATCATTCTACTAAAGATAGGGCAAATTAATCTTAGAATCAGGGAAAACGTCAGAAAATATTTATGAAATCAGAAACTTGAAAACACAACAAAAAAAAAAAAAAAAAAAAAAAAATGCTAGTATTCCAATCTACTTCTGATAAACACCAAGATATTAGTTACATACTTCTCCCAATGTCAACAGCATCCTCTATGCGAAAACCAAGAGTTTGCTCTAGAGTTCCAAAGTCTGAAATTCGAGATGAACGAATGGTGCTCCCCTCTGTACCACTGAAAGCACATACAGTTAGAACCAAAACTACCAAAATTGACAGATGCAATTCAACAAACAAGCCATTAAAGCTATGTTCATTAGCCAGAATGGTAAGACGCAAAAGGCATACTTGCAAATTGTAATTCAACTATCCACTGAGAGACAAATGTGAGAATGTTACAAAACCATCTTCAATCATAATGCAACCAGAAGAAGGAACTTGTATAGTCTGAAAATATACTATAATTTTGACATTTCATATCAGGATTGAATGATTAACAGATCCTTATAACCATGAGTACCAAAATTGAACAAATGCAATTCAATCAACAAACCATCAAATCCATGTCGTTACCCAGAATGGTAATGCCAAAAAGGTACCATCACAAATCATAATCCAACTGCCCACTCAGTGACAAATGTGAGCATAAGAAACCTCTTCATAATGCAAACAAACAAAGAAACTTGTATTGTCTGAAAATCAACAATAATTTTGACATTTCATTTCAGTATTGAATTGTTAACAAATTAAAAGCCATGAGAGCCATCTTAAATAGCATATGCCCTGTTTTCTAATTTTGGGATCACTAATCATACTCTTGTAGAAAATAAACTAAAGGAAATGAGACTTCAGTCCCAAAATTAATACTAAATAAAAGATAATCCACCACGACAAGAAGGAAATTTCCAGTAATATTAAAAAATACCGTAACTTGGTTTGCTTAATTGAACAGAGACATTTTTTGAGAGACATTTTTTCGACAGACATTGGGAACAACTCCTCTCCATAATACAGCAATAGCTTCTAGTTGCTCTTTCTTTAGTCCTCTTTGTTGGCTGTATTTTATGTTTAACTACTCAATCCTACATATACTGAAAAATCACAGCTATAGCCACCTTTCCTCAAATCATTATCTAGACCATTCATATACAATTATGCCAAAAAATCAGTGCGCTATTTGACCAAATTTGAGGTGGTTAAAGCTTCAATCCAATAAATTCCCAAAGATAACTTGTAACATAGCTTTCTATTTAGCTGTGAATGGTGCGGAAAATATGGATTAACTTCAGATACTGACGTTATACGCTGTTCAGGTTACATTTTAGAAGACTTGGAGAAAGACCTAACGTGGTTGTGGTTCCATTCCACTTGTTAAACCGTATAATTCTGTTCCTTTCCGGATACTACCAACTAGCAAATAAAGCAAGATATTCTAATTTCAGCGGCAGATGCTACCAACTTTTGTACTACATTAAAACTTAAATTCATGTTCTAGTAGCAGAGAGGCAGAGCCAGAGCACGGCTGCTAAACTAACTGAAAGCCCAAGGAAACTAATTCAGACAGAATTACCATTAGAAAAGACAAACCACTCAAAACCAAAGGAGCTGTACTGCCTATGAAAACTTAAAACATAAGAATACTAAAATAAATATGGAAAAAATAAGTGGAAATTAATTACAGTGTAAGAGATTACTGACGTGGGATTGGAAGTGGGTACTGGAGGAACAAAGCTCGGCATCTCAGTCACGACTTTATTACCGTCATTTGCACCAGTTTTAACTGTTCTACTGCCCATGGATCAACATCATCATCACCACCACCACCACCACAAACCACCAGAACCACCTGATCCCAAAGCCAAAGAGACCCTTGAACAACCCCCTTCAAAAAATTAACTAAAACACAACACTCAGAAGCTCCTAAACCACAAACTCCTATCTACCCAATTACCAGAAAGATTAAAACTTTACAAAGACATATACAGAAATAGAACCCAAGCCCCAATCAAAAGCCACGTACTGACGGGAAAATTGAACCTTCAGAAACCCCACAAGCAGAAATACAATATAGCCCAGTTAACCCAAAGCTTACCAATAGTAGAAACTGTATGAACAAGCCGCCAAGTTTGAAGTAAAACCAAGGCCAACTCCACCAAAGTAGATGAAGAATCAGAACTCAAGACACTGAATTTCCACAAATTAAGCAAACCCAGAAGCTAAAATTGAAGGAATAGCCCAACAAACCCTAACCCGAGAACCTTTAAGAGGATAAATACCAAGTCCCTTTGACCTTTTGATCGTAATATAGTATTATATACCATCAGTTCTCTCTCTCTCTAAGACTGGAAAATTCAACAGGCCCACCTTGAATTTTGAGCAAATATTTTAACTTTATTAATTTTCTTGAAGAGGTTGGAGAGAGAGAGTAGAAGAAGCGTGACGTCCAGATCATCCCAATCTCTTCCATACGTCCTTTTCTTCTCTGCAACTTTTTCCATCTTTCAAAGATCGCCATTTTTTTTTAATTTCTTTCATTTCTTTTTGTCTTATTTTACCGCTTTGAAGCCTTAGCTTTTCCTCAATTTTATGTAAATACTAGAACTCCCGCGAAAGTTTGACATAATGTCACACTGCCCCAACTCCTTTCAGCTTATTCTTTCCTTGACTAATTCACTTCATTTAAATTGGTAACGGGTTTTCAAACTATCTTTACATAACCGATTTTGGGGAGGGGTCGATTACAGGACATCGAGTGAAGAAATAATTGCTCTTAACCACTTAAATTATAAAATTATTGCAATTGAGTTTCAAATAATTAATCATACCATCTTTTAGTTCATAAGTCTCAACTCAAATGCATCATAAAATTAGTGGAATGAGAGCAAAAATTATATTTAGGAATTAAGTTAGATTTTATCTTATTGTGCATCTTTTACAAAATACTACATACAATATAGGAAATTAAAGTTTTTAGTAAGAGAATACGATTTTCTCTTCAATATATTTTTATTTATACTTAATATGGATAACTTTCCTACATGAAAACTTTTCAAGGCCAATGACCCAAAAAAAAAGTGATATTTAATGTTTTTTTTTTTAAAAAGTTATGCAGGTGGAATTCTGCTTTGTAAAATACGGTGTCCTTGTCGTTGTAGATTGTAGCTGTAGGGATGGGACTGTAAATGTGAATGCATGACCACTCACGACAAACAAGTCAATTATAGCTTCTATTGTTCTACAAGATTAGGTAAGTTAGGGAGCTAGTAAAATTTAGGGAACTTGAGTGGTTGCTTTCAAATTTGAAACTTTGCATTCTAATTTCTCTTCAACTCCCTAATGTGTGAAGTAAAAGGATTTAGTGCTCTCGTAACAACGTTTTTTTTTTTAGTTACAACGATATTCTATTCTAAGGGGCCGGGAGGAGTTTCGAACCCCAGGACAGCTGGGTGATAAGGGGGAGGGCAAACTACTAGGCCACTCCACGTCCTTAATAGCAACCCTTTCTATATTACAAGATTGCAACTGCTCCAAATGTGGTAAAATCTGTTGTAGTAGCAAGTAACGGTAGTTTCCTAGTTTTAGTGAAGTTTAAGAGGCGTATGTCTATTTGTTGGAAAAATGTGAATAAAATGTATGCATGTTGTCGTCCAACGAATAGCAGCCTTTAAGTCTCGAGTTGCCCATTTAGAAGATCTCATAACTGTCTGCAATGACTTGTCTACCCTTTCAAAGCAAAAGTCAAAATTGGTATCTTCGACTCAAAAAATGTTTGTTTACTACCACCACCAATGATATAGTTGACGCTTTTGAAAATAATATTTTGTGTTCTTCTTTTCTTTATCCAAAAATAAGATTTTACTTTTGTAGAAAAATTATGTTGTATAAATAAAGAGATAAACAAAATTTATGTTGTTATTGTTTGTGCAAATAATCTCTCGGAAGAATATTCACTTCTAGATTCTTCACCCTTTGAGCTTCTTTCTCTCTCTTCCTCGATTCCTGTAAAAAAAGACCAGAATAAATAGACCACACACCGCCGATGCCTAAGTTAGTTCGATTGAATCTAGATGAAACAATAACTAAAAAGGGTACGAAGATTTCTCTAGGGTGAGAACCAGGTGGCCGGAGTCATGTGGAGAGAGGAGCTTCGAGTGCTTTTGCAAGGTTTCAGAGTTGGATTTAGAGTTACCTTGAGTGTTGAATGAAGCCATGTATTTATAGGAGCCTCAAAGGCTAGAGTTTTGAAAAGAATAAACTCGTATTAGGAAGGAGTTTATTTTTTCCCCAAATTGTAGAGGTTGAGTCCATTAGGATTTGATTGGGATCAAATCTCCTAAATTGATGATGATAATATCTCTTAATTACGATAATATCTAAATTGGTGATATATCTCATATTTAAGATATTATCCCTATTTTTAGTATTAATTAATTGGCCAAATCAATGGGCTCAATTAATTAACCTAAAGGATATTCTTCTTGTCCATGTGGCGTTTTGTAATTGGAGACGAAAATATTTGCTCCCACAGTTATTATGTATAGAAGTGGGCATATGAATTGGAAAAATTCAAGTACATACCATATCAAACCACCAATTTGATTTGGTTTGAAAATCTTTTATTTAATTTTATATTTTGTGACGATCTGATTCGAATGGAAAGTTCTGATAAAAACATTTGGGTTGAATAATGCCTAGTCCATCAGTAAATCAAACCATGACAAAATTAAACTGGGCATGTCACCCTTTTATTGGAATTGACAGGACTCAACTCAAATTCCCCTTTGGAGCTCATGACGAACCCTGCTTCACATCCGACATCTACCCAATGCTGGACCCACTTTACTGAAAAGCTCTGTAGCCCTATTTTAAACGGATAAACAATTCAACTTCTATCAAAATTTTTGTAGAGTCTTCCCTATAATTGGAACAATTCCCATATTATAGTACTTGCAAACAAATACAGAAATAACCCCAACTTCCAGCATGCACAAGGTAAAGGCACACAGAATAGTTAAAACTAATCAAATGGGTTTCACGCCCTTTACCCAAACTCAAAGAGAGCAAGCAGAGCAACTAAAGAATTTAGTTTACAACCAGGGGAAAAGAGAGTAGAGAAAAGTAAAGGAAAAGTTCCTACAAAGCAGACAACTGCGATGCCTCGACATGGTGGTCTCGACCTCATATATCTAGGACCCAGGGACGCAAAACATAAAATTTGAGTGGACGAAAACAAAGTGTTTAACATAATTTATATGCAACACAAATAACCCCCTCCATTTTAGAAAATAATTCCAAGCAACAAAATCCTTTATATGCTTACATATATATGAACTTATACTTGAAAACAATTCCATTAAATTTGTACCTTAATATACCATAGTGAAAACCATAACTTCAATACTTTCTCAATTTCTTGAAAAATACATTGTAAACACATACATTAAATCCTTTTTATAAAATTGTAAACCAATCCACCCAAAATATTCCATTAATACAAAATATAATCAACATAATCAAATAATTCTTTTTTCCCTCAACCATACCCTTTCTTAGGCCTATGCTTGCAAACATATAAAATTCCAGTGTTTCCAAATAGCCCAACTCAAATCCAAAACTCCTTAAAAAATTCATACCTATGCAGCGGTATCAATGCACATGCTCAAGAAATCTCAAAACCTGGAAAGTAACTCCACACATATATAACATAAACGACTTTAAAAGCAAGATATCTCATAATCCCAATATAGCATATAACATAAACTCAAACTAGACTTCCCTTCCCAAACCACTCTCTTCCAAAACGCATGCTCGTAGGCATAGCAAGCGAGGAAGGATCCTCACTAGTAAATAAGAATATAAGTGTTTAGGGTTTATGTTATATGCTATAATATGAACTAAGTCCAGTTTGCTCGTAGACTTAGTTCATATAATCCCGATATATATATATATATATATATATATGACCACTACCAAACATATACTGAGGAAACAATCCAACCGATAGATTGTTTGACTAGACCACACGAAAAAACCCTCAATAACCATGTGGCTAAGGAACCAGTCGTCCAACCAGAGGACTGGGCTCCCATACACGCACAACAAAATCCTCAATACTCGTGCGGCTGAACTAAGTCCTACATGCCAGACTTCCCATCCAAGGGCCTACAAAACACCCCGCCAAGGGTACCTGGGTTCCGACAAATCCAAGTATCCATATCCACTGTTTCCAATATCATTGTTACAGGGAGGTACATAGGGTGGTGCTAATAGCACTCCAATATAACATATTCCACATCCCAACTCATATACATAATCATATCCCAAATTCTAGATGATCCACATGTACCCAATCCCATATACATAAACATCCGGACGTTGATAGTGTCCATAACTCAATACCCAAATATATATTCATAGTATAGATAGCAACTCTCAAAAGCATATATTCCATAACCCAAAATACATCTCCCTTGGAATACTCTTTCCAATAACATAGCCGAGTTCCAAGACTCGTCTTCACAAATATCCAAATCAAATTATCCCATATATCGTATTACATAACTCAAAATATTCATAAACCCCAAATAATCAAAATAATCCAATAATCCCATAAAATAATCTCGTAAACCCATCAAGATGGCAAAATAATTCAAATAATAATCAACACTTGTTTACACTTGCAATTCCCATAAAACACTATATTCCACAATTAAAACAATAATATACTTTCACAAACAAACCCAACATCACCCAAACCATATACTTTATTAATAATAATAATAATAATAATAATAATAATAATAATAATAATAATCCCTGAAAATCCCATATCACATCCGATAAAAATCACATTCGAAACCCAAAATCCATATACTTTATAACTAACAATAAGCTCTAAATCAAGTCTCATTTATGCATGCAATTCCATATTAAAAAATAATGCTCATATAAAACAATGTCCACTCACAACAGGTCCACACTGCTCAATCCAAAGAGAGCTCTTCCTCTGGAATACGAGAAGCAACTGGGCGGTCAAACTTCCCATATTGGTCAACCGGGTTCGCAAGCCCACAACCTCTAATTTCCAAACCGAAATTTCCTATGGGTCCAACAAAGTCCACTAAACAAGTCCTGTAAGTTTGATCTCGATCGAGCGGTCGGATGTAAGCTAATCTCATAATCGGACAGCGATCGCTTTGCTTACACCTAGCATCAATGATTCGAAGTATCCGGAACTCCGATTCTCGATCCATGAGCTCCTACCCGATCCTAGATGTAAAGAGAAAAACATAATTGAAATTGGGACTGATCAAATGTATGAACCCATCGAACCCGAATATTGCATATTAGGTGCAATATCCGTTCGACTGTCATATGGCAACCAAATTCAATTTCGAGCATACCGTCGTGTTCAAGACGATGTGAGGAGTATTTTAGAACCTAATGGGCTGCCACAAAGTGGTCCACTCTCCACCACCTGCCACAGGCAGCGCGTGGGTGCCTTGAAAAAATTCTGCCGACCATAAAACTCCAAATCGCCAGTCAATACCCATACCATTAGAATCAGATTACCTATGGGATCAACTTTTGTTCTTGGACCAAGGCCAAAAACTAACCGGAACTAGCCGGATCGAAGCCAAAATTGTCGGCATAATTGGGGGTTAAAAATCAATCTCTAAAACCTCAAAATTAACCTAAACCAAGCACATAAATGGGTAAAGCACGAAGATTAGATGAAGTTTCTACCTCGTTTGACGATTTTGGCCATTGGAATTGCCAGAAGAAACAAGGGTTTTAGCTTGGTTTCAATCCATAATTGCGAACGATCTTGGAGTTTCAAAGGTGGAAATGGGTATGGACGTGTAATCATGGCGTCTCTGGCCGTGGCTGGATGGAGGAGAAAACGCTGGCCAAAGTGGCCGGTTTGTTTCACGAAGGGGAGAGAGAGAGAGAGAGAGAGAGAGAGAGAGAGAGAGATGAGCTGTTTTAAAACCCAACTTCAAAAAATTTACGGTTGTGCCACTGCACTTCCATTGACCAAAACTTCTTCGTTAAAACTCTGATTTGAGCCCACTATGTGTCTACGAAATGGTGCCACTCAAATCCCCAAAATCCTTCCAAATTAAAACATGACTAAAGTGACCCTACTTCCAAGGGCAAAATTGTAATTTCACAATTACATAAATTAAATAAAATGATTAAATTGGGTCGGGGGTGTTACAGGAATTTGGAATATTATTAGGTTGTTATAAGGTAGATTTTGATTAACTTATAAAATCCTGAAATTTTATACTTGAATTAGAACTCACATTTCAAGTATTAGGGATAGACTGTGTCTATGATGGACCGTGTGAATACAAGCTCTGCCCAAGCTCATGCTACACATGAAAACCTCGTAGAGCCACCTTGTCTTAAGAAAAGGCCCATGGACAAGCTAGTCCGGTATGGGGAGCTTATATAATGGGGTGGATTTTGGTGAGAGGGTTATTTGTGCAAATTTCTCATGGGAGAATATTCGCAAGAGATTCTTCACCCTTCTAGCTTACTTCTCTCTTTTCCTCATTGATCCCTGTAAGATAAAGTGAAGTAAATAGACCACATCCGGGGGGTGTTAGCTAAAGGCCCTCCAATGCCTAAGTCAGTTAGATGATCTTGAGAAAAATACGAAAATAATAAAAAAAGGTTGGAGTTTTCTCTACGGTACAAGAGAGCCAGGTGGCCGGAGCCATGTGTGTGGTCGGAGCTGTGAGAGAGAAAGGGAGTGGGGGCAGAGGGGGAGAGAGAGAGAGAGAGAGAGAGTTTGTAGGGTTTTTTGAATTACCTCATGTATTTGGTGTAGCCATGTATTTATAGTCCCCTTGCCTTCTAGGGTTTTTCATAGAATAATTCTCCTATGGAAGGGAATTATTCTCACCCTTAACTGGAGAGATTGAATCAATTAGAATTTAATGAAGATCAAATCCTTGGTATTATCCCTATTTTAAGTCTATACAAATGACCAATTAAACAAAGCATAATTGTTGACCTAAGTAATATTCTCATTGTCTATGTGGCGCCTCATGATTGGTTGTTGAAATATTTGCTCCCACAAATACCATGCAACTTCTACATGGCACATGCGTGGCATGAAGTAGGTAAGAAATATTTATCGGCCTTTCAAACCGCTTCTGGGCTTCCTTTTGTGAGTTGGGCTCCTTATTGGAGGAGGCTTTTAATTTCATTTTAGAAGTTGGGTTCCCAAATGGGAGGAAACTTTACGCATAGTTTCATTACTATTAATGGGTGGCTCCACGATTTCTTATGGGCACAGGCATCCAAGGTAATTCAACGCAGCATACAACTCTCCGTTGTACTGTGCTCTCCAAGTGTGCTTGTTCCTCCCTTCTTCCTTGCCATGGCAAGTATTTGTGAAATAACTCCAATGAGAAGGAAAAAGAATGTGTTAGTTGGAATGGGCTTGTGATTCTTCTAGGTCAAGGATACCCAACTACTATAAATGCAAGACTTCTCTTCACTCATCTTCAAATTGCAAACTTGTTTTCCTCAACTTTCAGCTTGTGAGAAAGATCTTGGAGGATTGTACTGCTTGCTGAGGAGAGGAGTTTTCGTGCACACCAAGGTCAGGCTTCTTTCTTTTTTTTTTTTTTTTTTTTTTTTTTTTTTTCTCTTTTTCATTTTTTTTTTTTTTTTTGGACTGGCTGGCTAGCTCTACAAGTTGTCACCATGACGTGACAATGACAGTGGATGTCAGTGGCTGTTGTGAAAATTCTTTATATTTTTTTACACTTCGCAGCAAGGACCAGTTGGCTTGGGCTGACTGGTTGTTGCCGAGATCTCGCGGCAGTGCTGAGAAAGTTTGGCAAGGTAGCTGCACCATCCAATAGCGGTTGCTGGTAGCGGCAGCATAGTCCTTCTTTTCCTTTTCTTCTCGGCATAAGGCGATTGCCTTATGCTATGGCTAACTGCGAGATCAGGCTTGCCTGGTTGCATTGAGTTCGAGAGGACATTGTTGCCGCGTTGGTTGGTGTCGGTTGCTACCGGTTGATGCTGATTGTATCTGATGTCCCTTTTTTCTTTCCTTTTTTTTTGTGCCACAACTTAGGGTTTTGACTTGGTTTTATTTATTCCTTTTTGCAACTATTCAACCATCATGTCTTCTAGTGAGAGAAGTCAATCACCCAATTCGCAAGTGCCTTTATACTTGTGGGCCGATTCCAAGGTGTACAAGAAGTGGTTTGTGGCTAACTTACACTACGTCGTGATCGGGGCTAAATTTCAGAAGTAGCGTGATACCTTTGCCTCTGCCATACACAACAATGTGCATGTCAGGTTGGTAGAACCTTCAACTAATAATGTGCCCTGTACAGACTTGAATAATCCATGTGCCAGGATCATCACCTTCCATCCCTTATACTTTTCCTTGGGCTTCATGTTCCCATGTTCAAGTTTTTCAGGGGGGGTGTTTTGTGCCATGGAATGTGCTCTAAGCCAATGTATTCCTAACGTTTATCGAGCAATCATCTATATTGACAACTTGAACCGCTTCTTTAAGTTAGGCTTGACGGTGGGGGAGTTCTTTTACTTCTTCGAGGTGAGACGCTGCGAGAAATATGCTCAGCTATGTATGAGTAACGCCAAGCTGTTTGATAGTTTCAGCCAAGGAGACCACGTGTGGAATGCTGATGTTTTGGAGATTAGCAGCAAGTGGGAAGGTGAGGTAGACAATGGTCCACTGATTCTCACCACCTACTGCAATGGTATGTCACAATATGCTGATCTGCTTCAATTTTACTTGAATTTTTTTGATGTGTCACTGACTGACTTCTATGTTTTGCTTGTAGTTAAGGATATCACCCAAAAGCTTGATCTCGGACCGGACATGGCTAAGCTCCGTCAGGCACTAAACATCCCTGCGAGGTTTCGAGAATTGCATTGGCTACTGAGTGAGCATTGAAGGAAGGGTGGTGGCCTGCCCCTTATGTGGGACATTGAAAATTAAGAGTAATATGGCCCCGACTAGGATGATTAGCCTGACGAACTAGAGGAGTCCTCGACCAAAATTTCTGGAAAGAGGAAGGTGGCTCCTAAGCATTCTAGAGATGAAGTTGCGTCCTCACGAGCCAGGGAGGCGCCATCATGAAAAGAAGTCTCGTCTTCCTTCCGTTGTGGTAAATCCTTCTACGATGGGGGTCTCGTCTGCTAAGAATAAGGCATATGGCATGTGAGATATTAGGGAAGCCATTCCTTGGTCTTTGGATGAGAAGTCGAAGACTAGTAATTTGTTTTATTGAGATGCTGGTGCCAAGCTTGATTCTCTTGCCAAGCAGCATAGAGCAACTGATCTTCCTCGTAAGAGTTCGAATCGTCTGCACCAATCTAAGGACGAGGATTGAACTAAGAAATTTGCTTCTTCTCTTGGAAACTGTGCTCCATCTACTAAAATACGAAATACCAAGGGTGGAGCTAGTCCAGCCTTGTTGACTCCCTTTGAAGAGAAGATGGCAGCAATGCAGATGGCAAAAGAGTCATCTGTTCAAGCTAAAGGTCGCAATGATCTACCTAGGAATACCAAGTCTCGCCATGTTAGGGATGTGCATGCACCTGATCTACTCAAGAGTAACCTTCTGGGAGGTTAGTCTGCTTGTGTTGGTGATATCAGCGCCTTTTCAAGTCTTTCTCTAGAAGAGCTGAAGAGTGAAGCTCTTGCTTACTTAAAAAATGAGTGACTTATGCCACCAAGGTCATTTAGAGCTCATCTGCTATTGCTCCTCCTTTTGTGGAACTTGAAAAGCTAGAGAAGAAGAATGCAGCTTTCACTAACCTACTCTCGACCGAGCGAAAGTTCTTTGAGACTAAAGTTTTAGACTTTAAAAAGAAACTTGTCCCTGCTGAAGAATTCCCTTGCACTGGAGGATAGGGAATTTGACTTCACTTTTGCTGCCTTTCGTGATAAAAATGAGACTTATGACCACTTTGATCATGAGTTTACTGGCATGATCCATAGCTATGACAAGCTACTAGACAAGTTCAATGCCCACTAAGAAGATGCTAAGGCACCCAAGTCTAATATCGTTGTTTATGCTTATAAGCTGGGCTACTTGGACTACAAGAGAGGAGTTGCTTCCTATCCCATCATTGAGGATGGATACATAGAGTTGTTCTGCCAAGAGGTGCGTCCTGCTCAAGGTGAACAAGTGACTGCAATGGATAAAGAGTAAGCAACCGAGGTGGATCAAGTCGAGGACACAACTGATAAGACATTTTTGGATGGGATCCTATGTCTCCCTTAGAACGTTTTGGATTGGGTCCTATGTTTCCGTTGGGATGTTTTGGATGGGTGCCTACGTCTTCCTCATGGCGTTTTGGACGGGGTGTTACGTTTAAATTAGGACGTTTTGGATGGGTGCCTACGTCTTCCTCATGGCGTTTTGGACAGGGTCTTACGTTTCCCTTAGGACGTTTTGGATAGGTTTCTACGTCTCCCTAAGGATGTTTTGGAGGGGGTTCTACATTTCTCTTAGGACATTTTGGATGATATCCTACGTCTCCCTTAGGACGTTTTGGATGTCTTTATATGCTTCCCTTAAAACATTTTCGATTAGCTTTCTCTCAAAAATTTCTTTGAATGGAAAATTAGACTTGCATTGATGTTTGTGTGAATACATTACTTTATTGAATGGAAACTACTTGCAAAACATCCAAAGTAACTTTTTCTTTATTTGAAGTATAGAAGGCTCAATCGCCTGCTGAAACTGAGCTGATAAGCGGAAGCTTCATGTATACCTTCGGAGGTGATAATGAAGGAAACATGCATATTTAATGCTTAGGAAATGAACTTTAGCCATAACCTATACAACAAAAACATTCTAAATGGCGGATTCATTTTGTTTATACTAGTTGAGTTAAACCTTTTTCATTTTAAATCAAGTATCTTAGCCTAATCTCTTTGAACACAAATAGAAAAGGAAAAAGGGAATCGATCTTTACCCTTGATGACCTTTTCTTGATTTCTCAAGAATGAACACCTTTGTTGGAAAGGCCTTTTGTTTCACTTGATTTTGACTCCTTGACCTTAAGGCTCCAAGATTGGAGTCCTCTACCTCACCACACTAAATGCTCTTAGAGATGAAGAGAAGGCAATCAAGAAGTATGGATGCTAGTCTACTTCTTGATTGGACAAATTTTGGTTTATGGAAGATGAGATACAAAGATGATCACTGATCAACCAAAGTAGGAAACCAAAACTCTAGCTAGGTTTTCTCCAACACTTAGCTTATATAGGACAACACAAAAGGCAATTGGGTGGGTATTTAGGGCTCCATTTGGTCCATGGGTCATGTCATCTCATGCCACTTATCCCTTGGGCCTAATAGGCTTTTGGGCTATTTTGTCCATTTCCTTTTAAATCATATTTAAAAGCCCAATCCAATATTTCTATATGTCAATATTAATTTCATAATTAATCTTTTAATTATGATTTAACTATTAAATTATAATTATAGTCTTACTTAATTAACCCGATCAAACTATTTGACTTTGGTCAATTGCTCCAGTCAACATGTTTACTTTTGACCGTTGACTTTGACATTCGATTATCAACCATTGACTTGTGTCTCTTCATTTCATTTATCCTCATTTGTACCTCTAATCACATTCTTTGGGTGTGCAGATCCCTAGGTTCCCTTTAGCAAGGTAGTGGGTTGACTCAACTTCTCAGAGATGATATACGAATTAAATTCCACAATTTAATTCTTCCTATTAATAAAGGTTACTTGAAACCTTTTAGGACATCCACAAACCATGGTTGTCGCATAGCAACAAGTCACGGTTATCCGAGCTAAATGAGACGTTGTGAAAGAACTCATTCAAATTGGAATGACCATGCAATTGAATCATTCTCTTATGTCAATACTCCTTATTCACATTATTAGATCATGGAATCTGATTGTCAATATCCTAATGTGAATCATTCCTTTTATATGATTATCCTGGTAAGATTTGAAGACTTATTCTTTCAAGTTTTATCCACTACTCTGTGCAGAGATTTGGCCAATCATATCTTGGAGTATTCTCTCTCATTTACTAAGAGTAAAGATTTCTTGTTGTACATTCATTTGCTTCCATGACTCTATTAAGAATCCTAATGAGCACCTTTCAGCTATGCCTAATTCAGCATGACCATATAGTGTCCTCAAAGATTAATAACATAGCCACAAAACATCTATGATGCCTCAAGTATAAGGATTAGTTTGCACCATTACAATTTATGATTTCTAGCTTGACATGTGAGTAACGACTTCCATGCTATAACTCATGTGTTAGATCGCGTTCAGTGTACTTGTTCTTCTACAAGCACCTACATACATATCGATGTGTCTCCACACTTAATGCCTTAAGACATTGTCATTCCCTACATATGGAGACGATACTGTGTGCACTGGTCTCTGCGAAATATTGACGCTCAATCAATATTCCTATGATCAGGAACATATTTAGGATTTAGGGATGATAAGAAGTCTCCATGTATGCAATCTCATTACATAGCTCTCATATCCACTTGTGTATTCCTTGGACTATGATTGTTCTACATATTGAAAGATAATATTAATGTATAAAACAACCTTTCTTGCCCATTTATAACATAATATTTCTTTTATCAAAGATGTCCTTAACTCTAACTATTACATAGTTGTCTTTAAGGGCATATTTCTAACAGATAAGCATTCCATTGTCTTGGAACTTCTTTTCCCTTCAGGGTATCAAGTGTATAGCTTCCCCTGCCCCCAAATTGGCTTATCATGTAGAGGCCTTCCCAACTGGGTTTCATCTTATTTGATCCTTGTCTTTGTGCAGTGATGAAGACCTTTCTAAGTACAAGGTCGCCAAGTTGGAATTGTCTGACCTTCTCTTTTGTTTTAGTAAGACTTCAATTGCAGCTTATAAGCTGAAACTTGGACAATGGCTTTTTTCGCGCTTTTTTCGAGTAAGTCAAGGTTGACCTTCATCTGCTTGGAATTTTGGCCAATGCTGCCCACCTCAATGCTAATGGAGGGGATAGTGATACGATAGGGAATGATCGCCTCCATTCAATATGACAAGGAAAATTGGGTTTCACCAATTGATCTCCTTTTGGTATATGATAAGCCCATAGAGCTCCAGGGAGCTCATTTACCCATTTCCCTATTGCTCCTTCTAGTATTTTGTTTAGGCAGTCCATCACAATTTTGTTGGATGCCTCTTTTTGGCAATTGCCTTGTGGATATCTTGGAGTAAACAAGTGTTGCTTGATGCCATAGTTCTCAAAGAATCTTGTGAACTGTGACCCATTGTTGGTTACCAACGTCAGCTTCTTTAGTAGAGATAGAGCTTCGGCCTTGATCCATTTAGTAAAGTAGTCGGTGTCAACGATCATTGTGTCTTTCTTAGCAGGTGCTGGAGGCATGAAACCAACTAAGTCGATGGCTCATTGCATGAATGTCCATGGACTGTTCTGCAAATGATACACTTCAGTAGGTAGGTTAGGAATTGGCTTGTATCATTAGCATCGATCACATCTTTGACATACTCCATGGAATTATGGCACATGGTAGGCAAGAAGTAGCCTAAGTAGCCTATGCTTAGAGCTTTCTAGGCAAGTGACCTGCCCCTAGAGTGGTTGCCACACTCGTCATCTTGGATTTTGCAGAGCACCTCAAGTGTTTGAAGGTACTTTATACATGTGAGATGAGGATCGGAATATGATCTGCAAATGAGCTTGTTGCCTTGCGAGTAATATTTTTGGGCTTTCTGTTTGGCCTTTCTAGTTTCGAGCTTGTCTTTTGGAAAATTTTCATTCACCAAGTAGTCAATGATAAGGTCTAGCCAGCTGGGATCCTCATCGATCTGCATTGAGTCTGCTTGCTTTGCCTCACAAATGCTTGGCTAATTGAGGTATTCAACATGGATGGAGTTCCTGAAGGTAGAGAATGCCTTCAAAAATTCTAGGCTTTGTCAAGGTACTAGATCATTCTTAGGTGCTTTGCCATGTACTTGCATGAGGCTTGATTAATGATCAGTTGGGAGTCTGAATAGATGGCTAACCTCTTGATCGACAGTACCATTTATTGTGCGCAGTCTAGCGAGTTTGATAGCTTGTTCCAACGTAGTTCCATCGAGGGTGATTATGACGCGCAATTGGCAATATGTCTTTGGGTAGGTCAGGATAGGCGAAGGAGTTCTTATCAATTTTGAGACTTTCTTGTTTTTTGTTGACCACCTTCTCTTCTTCGGTTGACGAAGTGAAATGTGCAATGAAATTTGCTAAAGCATGGGCTTTTATAGTAGTCTTCGACCAATAGAGGAGGTTGTACTGGCCTAATTATATAGCCTATTTCATGAGTCGTTGAGAAGTGTTGGGACTATGGAGAATCAATCTCAAAGAAAAATAGGTCATGACAATGATCCGGTGAGCTTGGTAGTTCTTAATTTTCTAGAGGAAACTACAAAGGCCAAAATGAGCTTCTCCATTTTCTAATAGCGAGAGAGATTTTGAAGCGTAGAATACCTAATGTTGGGCCCCCCAGCTCTTCTCAAATGACAGCTGAGCTGACGGTTGAGTCATACACTGCTAGGTAGGCGAACAGGTCTTCTCATGGCAGAGGTTTCGAAAGTATGGGAGGTAAAGTGAAGTACGCCTTCAAGTTTTGAAAGGCTACTTCGCACTCCTTGTCTCATTTGTCCTTCTATCCTCTTTTCAAGATTTTAAAGAATGACCTAAATTTGTCGGTAGATCTTTAAAGGAATCAGTAAAGAGCTGCTGCTCTACCCGTCAAACTTTGGATCTCCCTCATGGTGAAAGATGACTTCATGTTGAGGATGCCCTTGATTTGATTTGGATGCACCCCGGTGCCTCTTTGGGTGACTAAGTACCCCAAAATTGGCCAGATGAGACTCCAAATGTGCACTTGCTCGGATTCAACTTCATGTGGTATTTTTAGAGGAGGCCGAAAGCTTTGGCAAGGTTCTTGATGTGACCTACTCTTTCAAAATTTTATTTATGAACCTCAAGTAGGTTGCTCCGACTTTTTTTAGCCCAAATGGCATGAATTTGTAGCAGTATGTACTCCTTTCGATGATGAATAAGGTCTTTGCTTTGTTGTAGTGCAGTTGCATGAATACTAATTTTAAAGCTTGTGATTTTTCAGGAGCCACTACAAGACTAATGGCCTAGTCCTTAGTAGAGTTGCCATTTATATTGGGGTCTTTTTCAGTTAGAAGGCTCGTCCGGGCTTGTTGATTCTTTGATGCCATAAAGTGGTGAATCAAGCCTTTGTTGCCCCTTTTTCTAAGTTAGCGAGAATTAGGCCCAAAGCATCCCGATGGAGAAGCAAGTCCCAAGGGAGTACTTTGTTCTTCTTCTAGTGACTGCGTGTTTTGTGCAGATGTTTCCGATAGCTAGACAAAGAGTTAGAGATGGTGCATTAATGTTGCACAGGCTTGACATGAGAGTTTGCCTTGGTGAATCGAGATACTACTAGGCTTGGCATGAGAGGCTGGTGGCTTAGGAGCTAAGAGAAAATGAGCATAAAGAAAGGATCAAGGCTTGAGATTTTGGGTGTTTTCGGCAGCTAGATGAAGGGTTTGCGATGTCTGCGTTTTCTTACTAAAAAGGTAATGACTATGGTTTCAACTTAGCTTGAGAGGATGGTGTGTGTTGAGGCCCAAAAAATCCACGGTCGGGCTCGAATAAATTATCGGCCCAAAATGACACTCTATCAAGGAAAGGCGTAAAGTGGAGTACACAAAAACCCGTCACATGCGAGTTGCAATCCACATGCCATGCTAACTAAATAATTCGTCATGCTAGAATATATCGGCCCTGCAAATCCATGCTAATTATCCCATCAAGCATAATAAAAAGCATGCCAAGCGATGTTCCATGCCAAGCGACATGCCAAGCATGAAATCATTATTACACACCTAACCACGCTACAAGCCTAAGTGGGCCCAAGCCACTCGAATGCCTGGGGCTTGCTTGAGTGGGTTGTGGTATGGATGGTAATAAATCAACATGAGGCCCATTGATGGGCCGAGAAATGGAAAGCCTGGGGCTTGCTTGAGTGGGTTGTGGTATGGATGGTAATAAATCAACATGAGGCCCATTGATGGGCCGAGAAATGGAAAGTCTCGGGTTGCTTGGGAGCCTCGAGACTCAAGCTCATTTCTTAAGCCCAAACATATGGGTGAGCACAAGAGGAAAAGAAATAGCACAAATAGCCCAAATAACCCAAATAGCCCCAAATAGCCTATTGACTCAAAAGCCCAATATTTAACAAAATAGCCCACTTATTTAATGAACCATCTTGGCCCATACAAAGCTTCACAATAAGCCAACAAAAGCCTCAGCCCTTTGCTGGAAAAATAAAAGCCACGTAGAGAAGGTCTGCAGGTTCATTAAACAAAGCCTCCAGACATGGGGGGAGCAAGTTCCAAGCAAGAAACATTCAAGGAACCAAAGAATAGTAGCCTGCGAGCTGCCAGAAACACCCTTCGAACCAGCATATATTTCCCAACTCCTTTTCCCATCAGACTTGGCCATGGAAAAGATAGAAGAAAGCAATAAAAGAAATGGCTGGGAATGGAAATCTGTCACTGAGACAGCTGCGGGAAAATGGGGCATTGAGCTCCCAAAGTCCCTGATTTTGTGCTAATAGACAGAGGAAATTTCACCAAGATAGGAAAAGCCAAGGGAGGAGAAGAGAAAGGAAGGGAAAAGCTTAGCCAAAATGGGTAGAAACCATTAGGGTTTCTTGGGAAAGAATGATTTCCAGCGCCTATAAAATGAGGCCTCTTTTACCCAACAAAGACAACCCACGCCTGGAGAGCAAGCTTTCTCTCTAACTTGCAAAAACCCAGCAGTCTCGTGCACTGTTCACCATCTTCTCCATTCTTCTCTTTTGGCAAACAGAGTATCTGTCAAGCTGCCAGAAGAGCATTGTTCTTCATTTCTCTCTTCCTAGCCAAATCTCCTACAAAATCTCTCTTTTCTCACCTTAACACTTCCCTTTTTCCCTATAAGAAAGCCTAAATTTCCTCTTAGTGCTAAACTCATGTTGATTTTGCTCCCATGCCACATGCCTCTCATGCCAAGCTTAAAATTTTATCTGTAAGCATGCATAAATTATCTGTAAGCTGCCATTATTTTGGTTGGTGAAGGTAACCAAAATACTTCCTAAGGCTCCATTGCCCTTTCGAGGTATTTTGGGGCTTAATTTTCGAACTCAGGCAAAGGGGACAATTACATCAGTCTGCCCTTTTTATAGCAGCCCAGCCCATTTGCAGCTGCTGGAGGAAAAAGTCCCCTACAGTGTGGAGACTCATACAAGCTTACTTGGGTAATGCATGCCAAGTGTTTGGGAAAATGTCTCACGGTAGCTTTAGGGCTGTTCTTTGAACTTTCAAAATGTTTCTCTTGGAATATGAGTTGGAGATTTTGACACATGAAAACAGACTTCTCAATGGTTGTGTGGAAACTGGTCTTGTGCCATTTGAAAGAAAAATGAATTTTTGGTGCAATGTCAAAGGGCTAAGCTGCTGGAATAGTGCAGTTTCTACTGCAGGGCATGTTTTGGGAACTTGTTTGACATGCTTCCCTAACTCTAACTGAAACTAAATTTGGGAAAATGAAGCCTGGTATGACTAGTTCTAATTGGAAAAGTTCGGGATTTGTTGGTTGTAAGCTTGATTTCTAGTGATTTTCCAAAGGTAAGATATCCCAGCTAGAATGGTTGGAAAATTTGTGTATAAGTTTTGCTTAGCATGTTGCTTTTGTTTGAGAATTTAGCATGTCCTTTCTCTCGGCATTGAGTGCTAATCCGGGCATTGCTAGAGCATGATCTTGAGCAATATTGTCTTGAGAGCATGATGTTATATGGTATTGCCACAAGAGCATGAGTTCTTCAATTTGCTTGAAATGCCTGAATTGCTTGGAATCCCTGAATTGCTTGAAATGCTTGAATGAAATGAAATTTCTTGGCCTGTGGATTGGTTTTATGCCATGTGAATTTGTGAAATGCATGGTTGATGAGTTTGCTTGCTACTTATGCATCATCTCTCTACTTTGCAGGAGGTTTTTTTATTTTATTTTATTATATATATATATATATATATATAAAGAAAATGAGAGCAATGATGCAAGTCCATGTGCTCAAGAAATCATCTTCAAAAAAACGAGCATCTCAAGTTTGCCTGAGAAGAATGATGACGATGAGGAGGTTATGATTTACAACGGAAATTATTGATTTCAAAGATATGAGGAATTGCATGAGGATGCGATAGTTGTTGGATGTTGCAGGTGGAGAATGGATGAATGTAGGAAAATATGCTTCTGGCACCTATCTTTTTTTCCATGAGTACCTCTCCAGAGTCTGTATTTTTTTTAGACTTGATTGAGAGGCTCCAAAGTTTGAGAAGTCTCATTTTTCTTATTGATTTGCTAGGAACTTGATAGCATGAAGGTGAGTTTTTGGTTGCTTACACCTTGACTTGCAATATGAAGGCTTCTGGAACATTTGAACCGCTTGACTAGGGAGACTTTGGGTGAGACAGAGAACAAGCTAGTTGTTAAGGTCACTTTGAGTGTTCTTTTAGAGATGCAATGAGTTTGTTTAATTGTTGTAAGGATGGATTGAGTTCTGGAGGTTATGAAGCACAAAGATTGGTAGGATGTTTGAAATCGAGCATGTGCTGGAAGGATGTTTGAAATAGGGCAGGTGCTAGAAATTCTTTGCTTGTGGAGTAGGTGTTGGAAGAATGTAACTTGGCTAGGAATGATATAGCTTAAACTTGCTCTCATGATGTAGATAATATGATCAAGATTTAGCTTGGTTTGGCATGAAAATGGAATGAAGTTGAGTCATACAATTGATTGGAATCAAGGTATAGCCTGGTATGACATGAGAAAATTTGAAGTTTCCAGAAATTGATGTGCTAGATGCTTGACTTGTGCTTGAGTTGGTTTTTTCTTTTCTTTTCATGTAAATTTGGCTTGATTGATTTACTTGGCATGTTGTAATTTCCTTCTTGACATGTTGCAGAGGTCATGTTTCATCATTTACAGCACGAGGTTGCTTGAGTCTTAATGGGTAAGCCCCCCAAGAGGTTGAGGTCTCGAAAAGGCACAATGTTTGGCAGTGAATTGCAAAATTAATTTTTGACAAAGGTTAGGTGTGCTGATTATTGGTGGAAACTCAGAGGTAGATGGCTTGTTGAGTTGGCAGTAATTGGCTTATTTCAAAAGGGGAAATAGAAAACTGTTTGTCACCATAATGCAGGATTGTTTGGGCTTGTTGTAATCAAAGAGATGATTTTTACTATATGGCAAAAAAGGTGGATGGGTTTGCTTGTTTGGATGGCATGGTGTCCTTTTTTGAATTTGCTTCAATGAAGCCCCCAAGTCAGCTTGTTGGGGTCAGCAATTGGTTGCAGAGTTGGGTTATGTACTCTTTGGCTTACTCGGGGTCGAGAAACAGAGTAGATGCCTTCTTGTTTTTTTTTCTCCTGCAACTTGCTTCAAAGAAGATCTCTGGAAGAAGCAAGCTGAAGATGAGAAAGAAGAGGCGAAGTGAGTTGCTAGAAGAGATACATACAACTTGTTTTCCTCAAGATAAGTAACAAACAGTTTACTTTCTTCCAGGAGAAAAACTGAAATTTACAGCAGCTTCTGAATGGGCCAGTGAGCGTCTTTCTTCCTTGCGAATGATCATGAGGCTAATCTCCATGTAGGTCTAGCCTCACGTGAATACTTTCTTGTGGGCCCAGACGGGAATGAACCTCAGATCGCGGGCCCAACCTTTTGTGCACATTGATCCTAAGACTTATCTTTGAACGAGATTTGATCTACTTAGGCTGGATCTCGTGAATGCTTGTGACATGCCAGCGTGCTGGGCAGCATGTTCTTGTCCTTCTCCTTGCTTGCTAGCTTCTGCTCGGGACCTTTCCAAATGTATGTCGATGCCTTCATCCATCATTCTCTTTTTGCCATGGGATCCAAGACCAAGGTATCTGACCAAGTCAATCTGCCTAAAAAGTTGTCCAACCAAGTTGTTTTGCTCGTCAATTCTTTGAGTTAGTTGGTCGACTTTGAGAGTAAGGTCTACTTGACTGCGTGGATAAGGAGGAGAGAATTGTGTATAGCCCAATTGCACGCAAGCTAGGCTTTCGTTTGAGGTGTGCCAAGGAGCTGAAAAAGTCGTGCGTGTTGGTAAAGGAGGGAACGAAAGTATCTACTCCAAAATTGGGCCATAATCGGAAGTGGTTCCAAAGCGGCCATGAGAGATGGTGTCGGAGTGAACTATGGTGTCGTCGCAGTGGTGAACATCGAATTCGGCCACGAGACCGTCGGGAAGGTGGCTGCTGGAGCCAACAACAAGGCCATGTGGCTGCAAGGCTATGGCAGCCATAGAGCCGTGTGCTTAAACTGTGGTCTTGGCCAAGAGGCCTTGCGGCGGCGCAAGGCTCACATTGACAACGCTTTGTGGTGGAGTGGCGCCTGCAGCCAAGGGGCCAAGCGGTGGAGCGACTGTATGGGCAAGCACAGCACTCTCGGTAAAGTGAAGCAACGGCATGGGCCAGTGCCATGACTGCAATGACGGTTTCAGCAATGGAACCCGGTGGTTGATTTGATGCCACACCATCGTGGTGGCTTGGGCCTCTTGCGGATTGTGTCGTCATAACGGTCTTACTTATCATGGCCTTGATTCCAACCATGGTTGTTTGGAAGGCTTCAGTTGAGTGACGAATAAGAGGAGACAGGTTCCTTTGATTTGAGAGCAACATGTCTCTCTCTTGTTGGATGGTGGGATGGACCCCTACATTGAACCCCATCATTATAGCATTTCTAGTCCAGTACGGGCCCAGATGCTTGCCTGATCTAAGCCTAGATCGGATAAGGCTTAAGGGATAATTCCAACATTACTCATTCTTTGGCAACACCCGCTTAGAGATCAACCCAAATCTTGGGGATATCCTCATTAATTGCAACAACAATAATTAAGGGGATTACATTCACCCACTATGGGTAAAAATCTCACATGTTCCAAGTCAAAGCACCTAATTGACGTGACGTAGGTGCACATCAAGGTCAAATACGTAGCTTCTGCTGACAATAAATCAGCTTCAAAGGACCCTATATAATTCTCTCACCATATCTGGAAAGAGGTAACTGCTCTTAAGTTTAATTAACCCTACTTTAATTCACACAATAATGTTAACTTAAGCATCAGAAGCCTTTTAGCTCATACCTCAATGGTGGGCTCACGACCTTCTCCTTTTCTTTCTCAAGGTTGACGAATTCATTCCCCGCAAAAAGTACTTTATTAACTTTCTTTTAATAGTACATGTTTTCTACTATGTTGAAATATATCTAAGGAGGGTGTATTCAATTTAGATTTTAAATAATTTTAAGAGAGTTATAAAGTTGATGGAGTTCAATTGAATTTAATTGAGTTTGACTGAATTCTACAAACTCCACATAGATTTTGACTGAATTCGTGTATAGATTTTAATTGAGTTTGTTATAATTTTATTATTAATTTTAATGGAGTTTATAGCAATGGTGGCGGTGTTGATGGTGGTGGTGATGATGGCAATGGCGGTGGCGATGGTAGTTTGCGAGGGAGGTAGTGGTGGAGGAGGTAGGAGTGGTAGTAGTGGTGGCGGCGGCAATGAGGTGGTGGAAGAGGTGGGGCTGATGGTGATGGTGCTGGCGGGAGTGGTGGTGACGATGGGGGTGATGGTGGGGCTAGTAGTAAGGGCGGCAGTGGGCAGCGGTGGGTGGTGGCGGTGGTCGTTCTAGGGTGTGGCTACGATGGCAGTGGTAGTGGCAACGACGACGATGACTGTGGTGGTGGTGGTGGTGATGGCGGCGGAGGCGGTGGCGACTATGTTGTTAGTCACGATAAAATGGTGGTAGTAGAAGTGGTGAAATCATATCTTGAGAATAAAAATAATATATCTATCAAAATCTCTAAGGGAAAGCAAAGATTTGTCATGGCCTAAAATTAGTCTATTATCAAACCAAATCCACCACTTTTTGTATTTCCTTTAAAATCAATGAGTTTTTTAATACACACAAAATTTTGTGAAGTCTTTTAAAGACGTGATTGAATACATCCAAATCTAAATGGAGTTTAAAAAGTTTGAATTAAATACACCTAGAATTGAATAGACTTCTATAAAATCGTGATTGAATACACCTAAACTTTTAAAGTTCTTTAAAAAAATTTAAAATCTAAATTGAATACACCCGTCTAAGTTCGAATGTTCTTCTCAGTCTCACTTTCTATAAAAAAAAAAAAAAAAAAAAAAAAACTTTGGCATTATGCTCATGTATCATTTTGCATACAATAATTTTAAATTAAATTGATTGAACTTAGAAAATAATAATAACTAGCCTCTTCGCAAGCGCTTCCTTGCTAGCGAGAGGCTCTTTTAAAAAAAAAATTAAATTTATTTTAGAATTAAAAAAGATAATTGGTAGTTGTGCTCCATAAAAATAGGATCCATTATCTGATTTTTCTTTTAATTTTAATTTTTTTTAATGTGAAAAAGTGTGGATTTTTCTTTCAACTAGCCTTGCCGAACGGACATGAAGCTGGAAAACAAAATCTCGCACCCCCACCAAGCTTGTTGAAACAGCGGGGACTCAAGATCTCGAGTAACCCAGCCTCTTTGACGAACGCTAAGACCAAGCCAAGCTCCTCGGCTCCTTCAGGTCACCCTTGCCGATCGGCAAGGGTTGGGCAGCAACTACGGTGAGGCCTCCTTCCGTATCCACAGTCACCTTACCAAAGTCCAGCTTCAATTTTCCTTCCTGCCCCTGCTCACAATCATTACTACAGAATCAAACCCAGGTCGGATCACCCTTGCCGAATGGCAAAGGTTGAGCAAATGGAAAATAGGGACATGAAGCTATTCAAGGATCAAACAACTCCTTTCATTCATCCTACCGATCGGCACGTTTGCTGAAGAACCCACTCACCGAAGCATAAAAACCCTTGCGACTTAACCTTGCCGAACAGCAGGTCAGGGACAAAGGTATATATCACTCCCTTCCTTCTAAACCCTAGCTCCAACACATGCCTAAGCCCACCTGCCAAGTCCTCACCACCTGCCGAACTACTAGCCCTACCAAAGGCTCACCAAGGCCCCCTTGGCCTAATTACCGAACAGCAAGTGCTGGGCCGAAACAACTTGGGCCCTCATTCTATTCCTATAAATAAAATAAAATAAAAAACACCTGCCGCACGGCAGGCACTATGGAGAAGAAAATAAAGGCCCACAAATTTCGCTCTCCCTCCAGCTCCAGCCCTGCCGAACAGCAAGGGCCACACCAAGCCTTCTTGGACGACTCTTCCTTTCAACCTTTGTTCTTCCTGCAGAAGGACAAACCCTTGCCAAAGCATTGGAGACCTCGCTCCAAGGACTTGCCGAAAGCCCAAATATCCTCAAGATACCTAGCTACCAATGGTTCTAAAGGCTCTCACAGCTTTTACCATACCTCAAGTGTTAACGCAACTTCTAGCTTGCCAACTTGGGGGACTAGGGAATGCCTTACGACTCCCACTGAACCTGGAATGCTCGGTCACAATTACACAAAATCTAACAAGTTCCCACCCAAAAGTTACTTCTCGACTGCGAACTTAGGGGACTACTGTTTACACCATAATCAACCGAGCATATTCAGCCTCAAAATGACTAACACCAAGGCAAACACGCCTTCTCCACTGCCGAAGGAAGACATTCTTCCAAGGTGCCAAGCACCTGCCGAAGCTCCCGACTGCCAAAGGTCCCAATTGCCGAACCTAATCTCCAGGACACGTATCACCACCACAGCAACTTGCACAAAGTCCCACATCAAAACTTTGTGCAAACCTCCCACTTTCACTTCCCTATAAATAGGGAACAATACCTAAGTAAAAAGGGTAACTACTTTCTCACTTTTACTGTTACTCTGCCAAAGTTACTACTCCTAGCTAACTTAAGCATCGGAGAGCCTTCGGCCGGCACCACACTAGTGTCCCAAGCTTAACGACTGCTTCTCCCACTTTGTCTTTTGCAGGTTCTTCCCTTGCTGAAGGTTCTCACCTTCTCCCCTGCTGAAGACTCATCACATTTCTCTAAGTTGACCCTCTCCGAAAAAGAGCATTAACAAATTTACTATATTATCCTTATTTAATTAATAATTTCAATTCTTAATATTTGCATTAACCAATGATATTTTCTTGTATTTTGAATATTTTACCATTCTCTGTATATATCAATAATGTTACGGGCACCAACTTGTTTACCAACTTTTGGATACCAACACATGTGGCACATGACATGGCAACCCATGTCATCTGCCATCTCATCTATTTTAATTGCATAATTTATTATATAAATAAAAGAATTTCTCACCGAAAAAAGGTATAATTAAATATAAAAAAACCCATTTAATATTCAATACCGCTACGGGCACCAATATTAAAATAGATGAGATGGCAGATGACATGGGTTGCCATGTCATGTGCCACATGTGTTGGTATCCAAAAGTTGGTAAACAAGTTGGTGCCCGTAGCGTTATTGCTGTATATATATATATATATATATATAGATAATAATAATAAAATGGTCTAGTTACTTAACGGTCCAGCTTCTTCCCTCGCTATTTGTAGAGCAAAACCCTTAAAAAGCCCCCTTCTACTACCTGTACAGGACAAGAGTGATGGTCGCCAATTTTTGTTTGGGATTATTGATGAATGAATATGATTTCAACTACACCTAAAGAAGTTTCAATTCCCACAACTGGGCTTTCATTTATTTCTTTGGTCATGATTCATTTGTGTTGGCGTGACTTGTGGATATTGACTTACTTTCCTTACACACCAAGAATTCTTATTATAATTATAATTGATTTACTTTAATTCTTGATTTCCTATTGTAAATAGATTTAGGAATTTATTATTTACTTTCCCATTCAGGTTTCGTTATATTATAAATATGACCTCTTACAAGGAGAAGAATACATAGAAAATTCCCACAAACAAATATTCTCTCATAGTTTTCATATTTTAGCATGGTATTAGAGCAGTGATCTTGGAATTGCTGACTCTAGTTTCAAACCCCTGCCGCTGCTATGGGGGTTGATGATTTTTTCAACCCTCATGGAGATAGCACCACCGACTCCTTCTCTTCTTCTCAACCAACCATAGCCGAGTTGAGTGCCCAAATGGCTCAGCTCCTACAGATGCAGACTTTGGCCCTGAATTTGATCCTAAATCAGGATCCTATTTTGATGACCCCGAACCCGATCCAGAATCAGGATCCTATTTTGACGACCCCCGACCCCTACCTCAACTATGACGACGACGACCCGACCTCGACCCCCGACCCCGACCTCAACTATGACGACGATGACCCCGACCCCGACTCCGATGATGACCACAACCCCGAATTTGTCTATGATTTAGACCTCGATCCCGATTTCGACTCTGACTCAGGATCAGATCCCAATCCGAATTCCTACTCAACCTGTATCCTGTGCATCTTCCGCTGCACAGATTATGACTTCTCAACTAACGACCCCGACACATGGACTAGATTGCACATATTGTGGTGATCCGAGACACACTCGTGAGACTTGTTTTAAATTGCATGGCTACCCCTGATTGGTGGGCTACTCTTAAAGATCGAGGACAATGCAATACGACCAGTAATGGTACTGGTTATGGATTCCATACTTCCGATAAGATTGATTCCAGGAGTTGGATAATTGATTCCGGTGCAACTGATCATATGACGTTTGATCCTGATGATTTTCTGAATACTACACAACCTCGACGAACTTGTGTTGCAAATGCCAATGGCGTTACTTATCCTGTGACAGGGGCTGGCACTGTTGCACTTTCATCCTCTCTCACATTGTCTAATACTTTACTTGTTCCATCTTTATCCACTAAATTGTTGTCCGTTAGTCAGCTTACTGAACAATTGAATTGTTGTGTACTCATTTACCCGAGTTTTTGTTTGCTTCAGGATATTCACACTAAGGAGATTCTTGGTCGTGATATTAAGAGAGGGGGGCTATATTATGTCGATGACTTCAGTCCTGGCATGGCTAACAGTGTGACACATCCCTTTGATAGCAAACAAAAGCAAATCTGGTTGTGGCACCGTCGATTGGGACATCCATCTTTTAGTTATATGAAGCATCTTATACCATATTTATTCTTGGGTTTCAAGGACTCCGACTTCACATGTGATACTTGTATTTTGGCCAAGAGTCACCGTGTGCCCTACCCGTTGAGTACGAACAAGTGTACTACTCCATTTACGTTAATTCACTTTGATGTCTGGGGACCTTCACCTATCACTGCTCCTTCTGGTGTTCGATGGTTTGTCACATTCATAGATGATTGTACACGGATGACATGGCTTTATTTGCTGAAGAATAAAAACGAAGTGTTTTCCCGTTTTCAGTCCTTCCACAAACAGATGAAAACTCAGTTTAATGATCAAATCCAGATTCTTCGCTCCGACAATGGTGGAGAATTTGTCAATCATGACTTTCAGACTTACTTCCAACAACATGGAATTATCCATGAGACGACTTGTCCTCAGACACCGCAACAAAATGGTGTTGCTAAACGAAAGAATCGACATCTTCTTGAAATCGCCCGAGCACTTCTGATTGGCACTCATGTTCCTCGCCATCATTGGGATGATGCTATTGTCACTGCAGTTCACCTAATCAACCGCATGCCTTCTAGTGTATTGACCTTTAAAATTCCCTTATAGGTGCTTGCGCAATGCAGACCTCTGCCCTCTGTTTTGGTACTCACACCCCGAATCTTTGGATGTGTGGCTTTCGTTCATCTCCACAAAAATCAACGTAGCAAACTTGATCCTTATGCGCTTCGTTGTGTTTTTGTGGGTTATGTCACTCATCAGAAAGGCTACCGTTGTTATCACCCTCATACCCGACGTACCTATGTCACTTTGGATGTGACCTTTCTGGAATCTGAGTTGTTCTTCCATGACCCATCATCCAATTCTACGCTTCAGGGGGAGATATGAAGTGAAGAGCAGAATTGGAGCAACTTGGAAAACGAAGAAATTCTCCTATGTACAAAAATGATTGATCATCCCGAGTCTGGAGCACAAGATTACTTTCTGCCGAAAAGCGACCAATCGCCCATTCATAGCGATCAATTACCTGACCCACCTGATCCATACGAAGATAAATCTAATCCAAGTCTCACACCTACAGACAATACATAACAACAAGATGAAGACCCCCCTCTAACTCAACAGTACCAACAGACCAATCTCCTGAGAATATCCTTGAGGTAACTACTCCTACTAGACTTATGCATTTAGAGGATAAAACTATTGGATATCAATTACCTTTCAGGAAAAATCGTGGGAAGCCACCAAACCGTTATTCACCTGATATTGGCAAGACATCTAAGTATCCAATTGCAAATCATGTATCCACTGAGAAGCCATCTGAACCACTCAAGGCTTTTGTGCATCAATTGTCTGCTATCCATATTCCAACCAAGGTCTCTGAAGCATTGAAAGATCCTAAGTGGGTCCAAGCTATAAAAGAGGAGATGAAAGCTCTTGAGAAAAATCAAACTTGGACATTGGAGACTATACCACGAGGAAAAAAGACTATCGGATGTAGATGGGTGTTTACTATAAAACACAATGCAGATGGATCTATCGAGCGATACAAGGCAAGACTTGTGGCAAAAGGATACACACAGACATATGGTATAGACTATGAAGAAACCTTTGCTCTAGTTGCAAAGTTAAACACCGTCAGAGTCTTATTGTCCCTTGCAGCTAATTTGGATTGGTCACTACACTAGTTTGATGTAAAGAGTGCTTTTCTACATGGCGAACTCACGGAGGAGGTGTACATGGACATTCCTCCTGGTTATAATACTACTCAGACTGGAACAGTTTGCAGGTTACGAAAAGCATTGTATGGGTTGAAACAGTCACCACGTGCATGGTTTGGATGGTTCACCATGGAAATGAAGAACAATGGTTTCAAACAGTGCAACTCAGATCATACTATGTTCTTGAAACATCGGAAAGGGAAGGTAACAGCATTAATAATTTATGTTGATGATATAATTATTACTGGGAATGATAAACATGAAATATCACAGCTACAAGACTATCTGGCTACAGAGTTTGAGATGAAGGATCTAGGTGGACTCAAGTATTTCTTGGGAATTGAGGTGGCTTGATCGCAGCAAGGCATATTTCTCTCTCAAAGGAAATATGTCTTGGACTTGTTCACAGACACAGGAATGCTAGATTGCAAACCTGCGGACACTCCTATTGTTCAGAATCATCTTCTTGGAGAATATCCGGATCAAGTTCCAACTAACAAAGAAAGATACCAAAGGTTAGTGGGAAGATTGATCTATTTGTCACATACTCGACCAGACATTGCTTATGCAGTGAGCGTTGTCAGTTAATTTATGCACTCTCCAAGTGAAGACCACATGAATGCAGTTCTTCGGATACTTAGATATTTGAAGTCTGCACCTGGAAAATGACTTATGTTCTCAAAGCATGGTCATCTAAATATTGATGGTTATTCAGATGCAGATTGGGCAGGTAATGTAACAGATAGAAAATCCACATCGGGTTACTTCACATTCGTGGGAGGTAATTTGGTGACATGGAGGAGCAAGAAACAGAATGTAGTAGCTTTATCCAGTGTAGAAGCCGAGTTCAGAGGCATGACTAAAGGGATTTGTGAACTTCTTTGGTTAAGAAAGTTGCTTACTGAACTTGGGTATAAACCTACATCTACAATGAATCTCTTTTGTGACAACAAGGCTGCTATAGCCATTGCACAGAATCCGGTTCAGCATGATCGTACTAAACATGTTGAGGTGGATCGACACTTCATCAAACAGAAGCTTGAGGCTAAAGTGTTTCAGTTTCCTTTTGTGAAATCCGAGGATCAATTGGCGAATATTTTGACAAAGGCGATTTCCAGTAAAGCATTCCACAATTCACTGGATCAGTTGGGCATTGGCGACATCTATGCACCAACGTGAGGGGGAGTGTTGGCGTGACTTGTGGATATTGACTTACTTTCCTTACACACCAAGAATTCCTATTATAATTATAATTGATTTACTTTAATTCTTGATTTCCTATTGTAAATAGATTTAGGAATTTATTATTTACTTGCCCATTCAGGTTTCGTTGTATTATAAATATGACCTCCTACAAGGAGAAGAATACATAGAAAATTCCCACAAACAAATATTCTCTCATAGTTTTCATATTTTAGCAATTTGTACTGTAAAACCCTAGAATTTCATTCTTAGATTGTAGAAATGTGTGAGTCTCAGTTACCCATTTGTGTTTTTGTTTGCTTTTTCTCCATAGTGCACCGCATTTTAGAAGACCATTTTCATAAAAAAACGTTGTTAGAATCTGGAAAAGATAAAGCAGAATAACAAGAACGTTATTTTACAGTGTCTTATCTCGTTAGTTCATTTGGGTTCTATTAAGAAAATGCTCTGTCATTGTCTAAGAAAGTAAACTTTGAAAACCCAGGAAGACCAGATTCTTTCCTTGATCTTCTCAGAGACCATGGATTTGCTGATTCCCAAATCTCCAAACTTGTTCATAACTCCCAAAGCTGCTTTTGTATGATGCTAAGAAGACACTCTTGCCCAAACTTGAATTCTTGCGTTCTATAGGCCTTTCCGGTGCAAGCCTTGCTCACACCATCTGTAGAAACCCTGATTTCCTGACAGCAAGCTTGGAGAACACTCTCATCCCTGGATTCAAAAGAGAACTCCTTAGTGATGAAAAAATTGTAAACGTTATAAAACGCTCATCATGGGGTATTTTAGGTAATAGGATGCGAAGCAATGTTGCTCAAAATCTCTGAGTCTTGAGAGCACTTGAAGTGCCACAATCCTCTATCTCTGTACTGGTGAGCTGTCACCCTAGCGTGGTATGCCAAAAACCGGAGAACTTCAACAAAGATGAGGAGGTTATCAGTTTGGGATTCAACCCTACGACATTAGCATTTGTCAATGGACTCCAAGTGATTTCGAAAATGACTAAATCGACATGGGAACACAAAAAGGAGGTTTACAGGAGGTGGGGCTGGACTGAAGATGAGATCTTGTTGGCTTTTAGAAAGAAACCCACTTGTATGTATTTGTCAGAGAAGAATATTATAAGTAAAATTGATTTTCTTGTAAACAAGATGGGCTGGCAGCCTGCAGATCTGGCCAGAGTTCCTGGGGTTCTAACTCTTAGTCTAGAGCAGAGAATCATTCCAAGGTGTTCTGTCCTTAGAGTTCTGATGGCGAAGGGCTTGCTGAAGAAAAAGTTTACCCTATCTTCATTGTTGATTACCATTGACAGTTACTTTATTAGTAGGTTTGTGATAAACTATCAAGAAACTCTGCCTCAACTGTTGGATATCATTCAAGGGAAATGAAGTCTTCAAGAACCTGACTTTCAATTTGAGGAAAAATGAATGCCAAAAGACTTGTAGAATCAAACACTACTAGTTCGTTGGTGCCTTCAGGAAATTGGCCTTTTGAGGAAAAATGAGGGCCAGAAAATTGTAGCATCAAGCACAAATACATTTATGCACAATTCCCCTTTTTCGCTGCTAATTTAAGCACGTCGATTCTCAATTGTTTTTGCTTTCAGAAACTCCACAGATTTGTTCCGTTCTCTGCTTTCAGTTTATAAATATGTATGCATGTGTGTATATGTGTGTGTTGCTTTGATCACATGAAACTCCACAGATTTGTTCCATTGTCTGCTTAATCCTCTTGCAAGATCAGATGACTTGGTTCCCTTTTTTTTTCCTTAATATCTGATTCTGCACATGTGATTTCTTTCCATTTTCTTTTTATTTTAGGGAGATTCACAAATATACCCAATATGGGGGTCCAAATTATAAAAATACCCCATATGAAATGAACTTTATAAACACACCCAAAACTCATTTACAACATAACAAAGAGGCCTTAACTTCTTATAAATTACAAAACTACCATAAATTTCTTAAAACAAGCTCAACCTCAAAATCTCATAAAAATACCCAAAATACTCAATAAGGTATTAAAGTAATTTAATAATCAATATTAAATTCAATAAGGCCAGCTGTCATTTTTGGGGTTTTTTTTGGGTTTGTTTATAGAAATTCAATGATGTAGGGTTTATCTATAATATTAGTGCTAAGAATGGGTATATCACTAAATATCTCTTTATTTTATCTATGATCTGGGTTTAGATTTTCTAGCATTATTTTTTCTTTGACTGAAAGAAAGGGTCCATTGCAGACAATTGTTTGACAAAAGGACAGATTGAAATTATTATTTTTGGTTACACCTGCAATATGGCTAAACACTACATTAGATACATTTATGGCATTTTCGCTACGTGCTTTGTGTGGTTATAAACTTTCCTTGTGCCTATTGTGCATATTGGAGTGCTTAGGTTGGCTGGTTCTTTTTCCCTTATTTAAATTACTGGTAAAAATGGATGAATTAGTGTGGGGTTTGAATGAGGAGAAATAAACTACCGATTACGGATTAGTAAACATGCCAGAAGTGTAGGGTTAATGTCACTTTCGCCAGCTGGTATTTTCACATAATTTCCCGTTACCTCATGTTTAAAAAAGTTCTGATGTGGTTGTTGAAGTTACAATTTGGTTTCAATTTACCATCTCCAGCCGCGGTAATTCCAGTTATTGCAGTTAAAAAAACTCATAATTAGACCTTGGGTTGTGTCCATCTCTTGTGGATTTCCTTATTGCTTCGGCCTTATCATTTAATTATGTCGTGCCTTTGTTAGAAACAAGCGAGGCCATGGAATGTGGAGCCCACTTGAGTTGCGGATGTACACACCTAGTCATGACACGTGGAGGGTTTTTACTACCTAAATGTGTTAATGTGTTTTTTTCTCTTTTGTCCAATGCCACGTCGAAAAGGCTCAAGTGGACAATAGGTTTCTGAACTTGGAGAAATTATAGAATAGGATTGTACCACCATGTCAGCTTGTGATACTCCTATTCAAAATTTGCCACTTGTCATTTTTTAAAATAAGTAAAACTTTTTTTTCCATCTAGACAAGAAACCCATTATTATCTTTTGAAATAAAATTAAGAAAATAAAAAATCAGGAAAGAGACATAACCACCCATCCTGACCAATTCTCTAACCCTACGCAACCTCCTCTTGGCCACCGCCCTTCCCTCTCTCTCTTTTCCACTCTCTCTCTCTCTCTCTCTCTCTCTCTCTCCTCTCTCTCTCTCTCTCTTTATGGCCTTCTCACGCAATTCAATAAATTAACCAATAGCCCAATCCTTGTTTCCCACCCTTTTGGTGGCTACCAAAGACCCATCTATATTTCTTCTTTTTGAAGGTCTCGCTCATTTGTTGACAGATGCTATCAGATTTGAAAACGGTTGAGGTCAGAGATGGGTGTTAATGGTAATTGAATAAAATTGGACCCATTTTCAAGGCTTATATTATCTTGCAGGTGGTATTCCATGGGTTCAAGACACCCTACAGTTTTAGAGAGACAGATAGGAGAGGGAGGGGCGGCAATGCTGCGTAAGGGGTTGGGTTGGGTGTGAGGTGGTTTCCGGTGCCTTATTTGTCATTTTCTGTCTTTTTCGATTTATTTTTTCTTTAGTTTTATTATGAATATAAAAAAGAAGTTTTAAATCCAGCTGTAAAAAATGACACATGACAAATTTTGAATGGGAGTATCACAAGCTGACATGGTCATACAATCCTATTCTATAATTTCTCCTAAACTTGGGCTCGTTCTTTTTTTACGTTTGAAAAACTTGGACTTGTTACTCTAAAACAAAAACTTTGTACTTACAACTAAGCATGGTTGACGTTTCCTAATGAGTATAGGCCTTTGTTCAATCCTCAAACGAGGATGGGGTTAAGATTAGCAAAGAGACTGTAATGAGGGGTTATAGTAGGTTGTAACTTGCAATGAAGGATTATATTGGGACTATAATGAGGGGAACCTGAATAGCCACCCGATCAATTGCAGAGTTATTATTAGACGGTAGGATTAGACACTCAACACAACCCCTCATTATAGAAGCTCTCCAATATTTGGAATGGGCAATAGGTACCCATTGGTCCAAATGTGTAATCATTAGGTAGCGGTGATAGTGGTGGTTGGTTATCTATGGGTAATTCCTAATTAAAAAGCACCTTCTAAGTGTAAGTTGGGGATTTCTAATGAACTTGGTTAGACCCGAATACTCATTTAAAAAGGAAGCATGAAAATTTTCTAATTCTCCAAATACACCCATAGTGTGCTTTTCAGGATATAAAAAAAAAAAAAAAAAAAAAAAAAAGATCGGGTGCGGGGATAGGATTAGGCTAAGTTAGTAGAACAGGTTAGAATTAGATTATGTCTAGAGTTCGATTCTCTTCAATTGTAACAAAAAGAAAACGTATCACGTAGAAGTTATAATATTCCATGACTGCACTCCATGAGAAAGTATCAAAATACACAACACAGAGAAAATCCAATTACAAAACTAGCAAATAGAAGTTACACTTTTCTGACCAAAGCCAATGAAACAATATAAAGTTCGTCTGTAACTAACAAACCATATAAAATTAGAAATGAAAAGAGAGAATTTTATTTCCTTTACTCTAAAATATTATATTATTGGAGACTCAACAGATATAGCAGTTGCAATCCCGAAACCAGAAAAACGGTGACTGGCATTTACCGCCCATTGCCTTCTCGAAGTTTCTGCAGTGCAACTCACATTCACTAGTAGTGTAACACCTGGCCATTGTTTTGCTTCCCACCGTGCATGCTCTGTTCCTCCTTCCCTGCACTATTATCGCATATAAATAAATAAATAACTACATAACTTTTAGTAACAAAATGAGCACAAATTTGTATATTTCAAGCTCTAAAGAACTAAAAACATTGTTGGATATATTTAAAACATGAGAATTTCAGTCACACCTTCTGAGGTTTGGGCTTATTCCAATCAGATCTTACTGGTTTTGTTTACTAGAGTTTACACT